TTGCCATTTCATTCAATTCAAGTTCACGAAAAAAAACGTTCATCGAATAATCATCTTCTCAGATGATGCCCATTTCTGGCTTAATGGATTCGGGCCAAAAACCGGGTCATCGAAAATTGCCGGAAACTGGTGGAGATATGCAAACAGAGCCGTGGTGGTCATTTGGCCGACATTTTGTTCAAATCTTAAATGGTATAAACTTATCTGTGTGAACAAAAAAAAAAAAAAACAGAACTCATTTTGACCAAATTTGAGTGTTCATGTTGAGTTTCATTTTAACATCACGTCCTTCTTGTTGGTAGGCCCTGTATACGTGTGGAGTTGTATATGTTTGTATGTGTGTGTGTGTGTCTATTTTATAATTAGAATTTTAAGCTGTTTATATAACCGTTATAGCCGCCACAAATGTCCATACAGCTAAGCTCAACAGGCACAAAGGACGAGATGAGCCCGCACACACATATATATGTGTTTTAGGGTGTGCTTTATTTTCAAAGTTGATTTTTTTTACAAACACGCGCTGTAGTTACAGTTTTTGTACTACAAAAAGGATCTAACATAAACAAGTTCTTTCTTTTTTTGATAACTTGCATTAAACAAATACAAAATTTAGCGCTCTACAAAAAAGGTCGTGAAGATTTTTTCCATAAAACTACTCTTCTAAAAGTTATACGTAATTAAAATTATACATCAAGTGTACTGAGCATTCATACAAGTGATTTATACATGCTGTGTTACTCATACGACATGGTGTACTGTATGAGTACCGCACATTTAATGCATAACTTTAACTGCGTATAACTTTTAAAGGAACGTTTTAAAAAAAAAATTGTAGAGCGAAAAAGTTTGTATTAGATTACAATTTTTTCAAAGTTGTAGATTTATTTGCTATAGAGTTATAAAAAAATTATGACAAACGAATAAAAAATAGAATATATGGAAAAAGAAACATAATTTAAGCACGGTTTAAATTGAAATTCAAGAGCTCGTTTAGGTTTAACAATGCACCGGTTTTTTTTTGGGCAAACACTACTTCAGGTGGCATTTGTAAAAAGTATCAACTTGGGAAAAAAACGAGCACCCTAATGTATATACATATATATGTATGTATATGTGTTTGCGCTTGTATTAAATATATCATGTCTCACAATTTTCTGTGTCACTGCTCTTTATCGCTGTGAGTTTGTGTATATACTTAAAAATATATATACATACATGCTTACAAAAAACATACATACGTATATATATCTATATGCAGGCATAATACTCTTCTCCACTTATACTCTCCCGCCTGGTACACGCTTAAAGCCAACGCCGCAGTTCACTGACATCAGTGGTACAGTGTGTGCGATAAAAAATGGTACATTTCTCTTTATGTCGCCTGTCGCGTTCCTTTTTTGCATAGTTATGTATATATGTTTGCTCTGCTGTAGCGCTGCTGATCCCCTTTATGGCTCTTATGACAGTCGCATGCACGACGAGATTTTCTGATCCCAATTTGGCCCCTTTCATCTACTTGTCTGTGCTCACAATTTCATTTAATACATGCTCTTTTTTGCAAGCAATTCTTCATTGTTTGTTTTAGTCCATTATATTTCTCCATTTGCTATTCTTTTTATTTGTTTTTTATTTTTTTTTTTTGTTTGTTTTGTAATCATTTTGCCAGCTTTATGATGCTCGATGTATTATTACTACCGTTTGGCGCTGGCCCAGTCTTATGTGTGAGACGTTTTTTGGTTCAAGGTTTTACCCCAGTACTTAATGCGTCCACATTCGATTCAATTTCTTCTGCTATTGTTATGTAGAGAGCAAGAGAGGGAAAGAATGAGGTAGTAAGTATGAGTTAGAGAGAGAACGAATGAGAAAGTGAGGTAGTAAGTTAGAGTGCAACTGATAAACAAACTGTACTCTTTCATACATATTTATGTGTCATTACGCTTGTATGTGCGTGTTTATATGTGAAAATAAAGTGTGGCCCAAGCTTGTAAGCGCCCATGATTGCGACTACCCCCCTTGACATGATTTCAAAGGCAAACCCGTCCACGAGAATGTAATGAAACAGGAAAAAATCGTACCAACAGTGGTTATAAAAGTGAAAGCCGAGCAAGGCAGCAAAAGGCAAAGCGTTGAAAATCAATTTGTAAATTTAAAGCAGCAGGTTAGGCTGACAAGCGCATACAAGTTGCTTGATTCGAATTTTTTCAACCACACACATACACCAGCACACCACTACAAAGTGTAGAATTGCACGTGAGCTGGTTAATCTGTTGCGCTTAGCAGATAGTTACGAACAGCGTCGCTCGGAATTTCACTTTACACAAGTTTACATACACACACATTTCAGGTTAACTGTGTAGGCAAATTGTGCAAGCATCGCTGATAGTACTCTTCAATTAGGGTCAAGCAAGCCGGAAATTTCATTATAAAATGTCTTTTCATGATTCTGTTTCGCTTTTTGTTTCTTATTAGTGTTGAGTTTTATTTGCTGTCATGCGCTCAATTTACTTTTTTTTATTTACTTTACGCAAACAAATCAATATTTACGTTGAGAATTGCACAGCGTTGTATGTTTGCGCAAGCATTGGACTTTTCTTGTGAAATTACCGTTAATTACAACTTGCATTGAAAGTTTATAATAGCAATTAATTAAGTTAATGATTTTTTTGCGAGAATAGCTGATCTGAACTAGTTTATATGCAGATGTGGAAGTTGATTGGAAATGCATAAAAGAAGAGAGAGAGAGAAGAAATTTATTTGGAAAATTAAAGAGTATGAAACAAAATTATTTAAATATTATTTTCAATTTGCGCAAAAACATTTTAGAGTTTATAAATTATAAAAAGCTGATAGTTTGATAAGGTTAGATCGTAGGGTTGAGCCAAAATCAATGGAAATTCACATGGACCAATATTTGTTTTTTGTGTTACCCAGAAAACTCCTTAATGTGCATTACCTCAAATTTAATCGACTTATTGATATCGATCCCAGCCACTACGCTAGGTTCTCCAAAAGTGTGTCTACCCAGATATTTCAATGTCAGTCTGGCAAAAGCCGGGCAATAGAGAAGAAAATGACAAAATGATTCACCCCCATACAGCTTTGACAAAGATTTAGTCAACAAAATATTTAGTCGCATCGATATACATCACAATTAATCACAACTAACTGAGTCTGTAATATATATATATATATATATATAGAGAGAGAGAAACGGACACCTCTATTAGATGGACACCTCCCTTGAGCGGACATTTGTTCATGCACCAAGTTTTAAGTACAATTGGTAGAGCAAATGATTAGGCGGATTCTCTCTTCGGCAGGCAAGAGTCGCCCTACAGTGACAAAGATGATTATTATACTGATGGAAACTTTTTGAATATACGAGTTTGCGCCAAAGTTTTGAATATATTTATTCTCAAGGATATATTCTACATAACTTATGAGTATGATGACTGTTCTTATGTACCGTTAATATTAATTATTAGTAAATCTATGTAGATTCCGACCGCATAGCGTCATGTGGTAAAAAAGTGATTGTACCTCGACAAAAAAACACGAACTTCATTTCTGACAAAAAATCTCTATAATATAATAACTAGTATAAAAATTTCAATAAGTAGACCGATCTCCGGTCCAAAGTAACTCATAATAAAGTACCAATTTTGAATTTATTTAAAATATTCATAATTTCGAATTCGAAAAAGATATTGAGATAGTGAAGCAACTATATAACCTCCCCTATTCAACCGACAATCTCACCCACTGTTCGGACTGGCCTAGCTAACGCGGCTCTGTCAGCTGAGGCCAGGCTGTATAACCTTCCAACTCGCAAAAGAAATGTTGTTGCATAATGAGCCTGACATTTATTTATAGAGACGGCTCTTCGAACTCAGGTCTAACCCTTGATTTGTATCCTTTGCATGCTACTACTATCAAAAAAATCGACTACTAACAATAAAGATATGTATGTGTTCGTCTCTAGTCTAGCTTTCTTAAGCTATATTGATACCTGTGAGAACCTCATACACTTTCATTGAACTTCGGCTATTGTCAACATTTAATACATATTTATAATTTGTTGACATTTATGAAGGAATTGCCGCGGCTTAGGAAGGTATAAATACATCTTCACCAAGTTCATGATCAAATCGCGGTGAGCTGGTGCAAACGATGGACAAGCCAGGAATAAGTGCCATAAAGGTTTTGCTATATGTTCGGTGGGATTGGCAGGGAATCATCTACCATGAGCTGCTCCTCTACAGCTAAACTCTTAATTTACTATCAACAAGTTAACCGTCTGAAGGAAGCAATTACCCAGAAGCGATCGGCTTTGCCCAAATTGTGTTCCATCAAGATAACTTCAGGCCACACACACCGATAATGACGCGTCAGAAGTTCTGGGAGCTTGGTTGGGATGTTTTTATGCATCCACCTAATAGTATTGAATTCTAAATGTTCATCGGAAGTTCAGAGTAAAACTAACCTTTAAGATTTCTAATAATCATAAACTCAATCTATCAAAAACTCTAATATAATCTATATACCATTTTTCTTTACTTGTCTGTATTGGTAAATAAAGTAGTCCAAAAACTTCCTCGGATATTCCGAGAGTAATTAACCTCTAACATCTAACATCTCTTTTAATCAACTTCTACAAAACAAACGTCGGCTAAATAAAATAAAATGAGTCATGATTTAGGGCTATATTTACTACTTAATTTATTGTATTTGAAGCTCATAACCTCGCATTTTTTATTATTATAGTCTAGTTTAAATAATTATGCACTAAAATGCTACTTATAAGACTCTAATAAAGGGGCTTAGCTTATTTTTAAGTTATTGCATTATCCCACTTCTCAATTTTGTCTTACTCATTTAAACTATGGACAAAGGTTTCATGGATTCAATTTGGTATATATTTCGTTTTACTCACCTTTTCTATGGAGAAACTTTGCATACAATTGTTTTTTCAATTTCTTTTTATTTTGATGCACTTTCAGGTTGATATCTCCTGCCGCAATACCAAACAAACGGTCAGCTCTATATTGACACGCACAAACTTTGTCACACTCAAATATGTCACCGACAATTGGGGTACAGATGCGAATGGTTTCAAACTGGTCATAACATCGGTGAAGGATCCAAGTGAGTACATATACATACTTAGGCAACTTTTCAACGCAGACACTTAAAAGTTAAGCAAGTTTAAGAATGCAATTTTAATTAACAAAAAAATCACAAAACTTGCTAATTGACTTTAAAGTTGAAGGGACAAACACTTTTCTTATTATAAACTGAACTTGATGCAAATTTCTCAGCTTATTTATCAACAAATTTCTCTCTTTTCTATTTCCATTATATTTTTCGCTATTTTTGCATATGCAAATGAAAAGAACACACCTGCAATGATTTCACCTGTGCAGCGCGTGAATTTTGCATAAGTCCGGATTTACTCTGCGATGGCATTAATCATTGTGGTGACAATTCTGATGAATCTGTATGCCAAAGTAAGTATGAAACCCACAGAGAAAATAAAATAAAAAAGTGCGTTTTTTAAAATAATACGAGTATATAAGTTTAGTAAGCTTTTAATTTAGTCGCGCACTTTAGAAATACATATATTAAAATGAGCAACAAGGTTGTATTTTAAATATTAAGAGAATAATTATAGTAGTGAGAATATAAGAGATATTTTAATATAATATTTTTTCGAATAATTTCAGGCGAAACAGCTGCTACGGTCTTCGGTATCGACATGACCTGGTTCGTGCTGATCGTTGTCGGCATAGTACTGGTGTTGAGCGCAGTGATCGTTGGCATTTCGATATGCGTTTGCAGGCGGCAGGAAGAGTCAAATCTTAACCAGAATACCGCTATACAAAGTAGGCGTCTATCTATCTATCCATCTAATTTTTTGGTCTCTCAAAATTATTATCGAAATAATTTTTCTCACATCCTTTCAGTGCATCATACCGCCGAAACGAATGGCTCATCAAAGCATTTACATTATCATCATGGCGGCACATTGTCGCGCGAACACACACAACTGCCACCGACGTCGGGAAACTGGCATCACCCTGCGGGACCTTACGGGTACCACCGCATTCTACGCAACTTATCGAAGATGGCCACCAAAGTCCGTCCCATTTGGTGCTTAGCAAATTCCGTCAATTAGGTCAAGATCTTTCACATACAAATCCGGCCGCTGCCGCCGCCGCCGCTACCGCCGGACTCAATCAAACGAACATTTCTGTGGCTAATCAAAATGCAGCCGCTGCCGCAGCAGCTGCTGCAGCTGTTGGTGCTGCACAGAAGGATGAATGGTTCGTTTAGGTAGAGGCCGAAGCTCGAGAATGAGCAAAAGCTTAAGTGAAGGGATCAATTAGACTACAGGAAGATGTTTTACTTAACAATTTTTTTAATTAAAACAAGGATTTTGCATAGCATTAAATGAAGTAAGTATACTCTGAGTTGTAAATTAATATACCGTATTTCAAAGAACTGTAAAATAGTGTGGGCTCTCGGGAGTAAAAGCTTAATTACATTTTTTTTCATTAATCAAAATTTTAAATACTTTAAAAAGCATTAATGCTCATTTATATATAAGATATTCAATATTAAAAAATAGTGCAAGCTTTAGCTGATTTCAAGATTTTTTGCATTAACCTACATTATTAAAACGACTGAAACATTTATTTTGAGGAGCGCTTTTAAAAGCGTGAAAGCTCATTGCATACAAAATATTTATTAGTTTAATAAAGATATACAGGAATACTTGTCTAAGTTTAATTGATCAAGTAGAAATAAAACCACCGAATAGACTAAAATCTAATTATGTTATTAGAAATTGTAGCCTTTGAAACTTTAGATTAAAGCTTTGTTGTTAGTAGTCAGTCAATTGTGAAAGCTTTCAAAGCAAAAGTTTTGACATGAAAACTGAAAAAGCACTTAAAATTTATGTGCAGCATTTAAAAGCAATTTCGGGCTATTAAAATGGCACTAAGCTTTTGTATATGAAAGCTCTTTATTCTTCCTATACTTTTATATTATAGCTTTTTATCCAATTTTTGAATATGAAAATGAAAAAAAAGAGTGTGAAAAAATTAGATTGTTCGGATAGCCGAATACTTACTTGAGATAGGAAGAGTAAAAGCTCTTAAGTAATGTGTTGCAATATTATTAAAAAAAATTTAATAGCATAAGCTTAAAAAAAGTATATTTAGTTTGAATAAATTAATAAAATATAGTATTGAAATTTTACAAAATCATAAAAGCTCTATTAAGAGCTTTCACAAAATTTTATTTATTGATACTGAAAAGAAAAGGCTTTGCAAAATAGTTATATTTAGCATGATTAATTTACAATTTGCGCTTGCACAAAATCATAAAAGCTCTGTTAGGAGCTTTCACAAAATTATTAACTATTAAGTTTAAAAAGTAAACGCTTTTGAATATAATACCTAATATTAATAATTTAATAAAAAGCACTTTGAGCTTTCACAAAATCTTAAAATCTCTACTAATAGCTTTTCACACCACATACTAGTTTGACTTATTTTCTCTACAATTAATTTAACTTCTTTTCATTACAGGACTGTATAAAATTTAATAACAACAAATTTAGTGGACATCTACGCGCAGGGTGATCGTTAAGAGATTTATAGTACCCAAATCTCTTGGCGTTGAGCACGAAAATTCTCAGCATGTACTTTGAAAAGCATGTTAGGAATTTTTTTGTCGGATAATCAACGCAACTTGTATATATTATTATAAATAAATAATTAATTAAATTTAATGTAAATGTAATTGATTGAAATTGAAGAAAATTATTTTTAATTATTAACGATTACTGATATTAAAAGGTGTAACGGTAAAAATATTAGCTAAAAATGTGTAATAAAAATATACTAAAACACTAAAATAATTTTAAAAAAATTGTAACTTTAAGCCCACAACAAAAAAAAAATATTATAATAAAAACTTTAAAAAATCTTACGGTAAATAGCTAAACAGTTAGTTTTAGCCTAAGGTATGTATGCTCCTTTTTTTACAACCGACCAATGAATTAAGCGAGTAAACAAAATATTACAATTTATAAAAAGAAAATATAAGAATTTTATTTGAAATAGAACTTATTTTATATTACCGTTAGAACAAAAGAGAACTTACATTGTATTTTTGAAATACAAGTTTAAACAGAAATTAATTTTACAGCTTAAATCAAAGAGTATTAGATGAAATTTCAATTCAATTACTTTTCTAATTTATAATCATATTGTGCTTTGTATACAAGAAAACTATAACTGTAAAGAATAAAGTAAAAAAGAGAATTACTTAAAAACGAGTTTTCACCAAATATTTGAGAGCTTTTTTGGTTTTATACCTGCAAAAAACACTTGAAATGCAAATTTTTGAGCATTCAATAATTTTATATTAAAACTACTAAAATAGTTGATAATAAAGTCGTCCGAGTTTATTTATGGTTAGTATAAAGCTAATGCTCCTAAAAGCGTAAAAGCTTTTATAGTACCGAAATTTTACTTTTAAAGTTACAATATTTTTAAAGAGAAAGTTTTTATATTTGAGCTTTCGAAAATATAAGCTTTCGCTGTTTTGTTATATTAAAAAATTGGAAGCTTTCGTAACGCAAGTTCGATGCTAGAAGCTTTCGTCTATTAATTATAGCCTTTTAAAGTCTTTATATTCTAACTTTCGTAAAGACGATGTTAGACTGTTTCTCATTTATAAAAATTTTAACTGCGAAAGCTCAAAACTTCAAAAGCTTACTTCTTGAAGCTTTCGTAATGATAATCTCTCACTCTTTCACATTTAAACAATTTGAAGCTGTGAAAGCTCTCAATTTCAAAAGCTCGTTTCTAGAAGCTTTCGTCTTCTACTTAAAGTAATCGAAACTCACAAAAGCTGCTACATATATGAAAGCTGTTTTTACAAAAATATAATTTACTCGTAGGTATAGCTACAAAGCATTAAAGCTCAAAAGTAATCGTTAAAATGAGACTTTTTACACTGACAGCAAAAACTGTAGAACTGCAGCGCCTAGTACTAGGCAATATTCCAAATGAATCCAATAGTATTACACGTCAATGTCAACGGCAATGATTTACCTAAAAAGCCACTTCCAAAAAGGGAAATTAAAGTTTTTAAATGCAAAACAAAAAGGAAAAACAATAAAACTAAAATACAAAACTGTAAAATAAACACACTTTGTGTGCATATAGCAGGGCAGTGCAATAATATTAAATTATGCGTGGTCGTAAAGTAAACATTGCGATTATAATAAACAAAATCTTAGAAAGAAAAATTACATAACAGCTATTGGTTATTTTAAAAAATATATAGATAAAAATAGTGCAAAACTCAGTAATCCACTAACAGTAGCGAAATAATGAAAAACTAAAGTCGTATAAAGAAAGAAACCAGAACTCAATTAAATATTATAATAAAAAACAACAACAACAAACAAGGGATGTAAATAGTTGACAATACAGAATATTAAAAATCGTAAAAAATAATACCTAATTAAAAATGCATAAAAATATTAAAGGATAATTGATGGTATTGAAACGCAGTTGCAAGAGCAAAACTAGCAATTTACATTAAAAAGCAGTCATTGAGAAATATAAAAATTTTGGTTATATGTAGAACTTTAAATTCATAGAAGTATTCATAATTTATTCAAATATGCCTAATTAGATCAACACTTTAAATGTATGAATATTGCTTTAAATTTCTTTAAATTTTTTAGATTCGCATAGTTTAATAAAAACAATATTACGTATCATCATCTTAATGCAATATGAAGCATCACATGATGGGTAAATTGCACAAAATTAAGAATTATAAGAGATTTTGCGATTTTAACACATCATATCATACAACATCACATGACCAGTCATCACGTGATAAAACATCGCAAGCTTAAATATTATGTGCAGCATGTTAAAACAAAAGAGTAAAGTTAGGCTGTCTGAGTAGACTAGAAGAGCTAAGAGTGCAATATCACGTGATAAAATCACGTTTTCCCAATCACTATCAAATATCACACGATTCATAGGACCGTCACAGAGATACATTTTAAATATGAAATTCGTAATTTTTATTTTTTAATTTTATGTATTCCACATAAAAACAAAGAACTTGTATAAGTTTTCAAAGCATCACTTTGTGAGAGATCACTTGATTCCTTAGATTTTTAAAATATTTTATTATACTTGTCCAACAAAAAACAATAACGCATAAAAGTTCAACATAGTAGCATAAACTTCACTTAATATGATAACACTTCAAAAAATATCGCTCTACGAAGTAAGATATCAAATAGCAGACGGTTAAAAGAAACATCACATAAAAATTTTTATGTTAAATTTTGTTAAAATATTATGAAGATTACTATTACAAAAATAGCTGACAAAATCATACCATTTTATATGATCACAACTTGCTACATCCAATGATCAAACATCACAATAAATGAAAAACAATGCATAGCGATTGAAAAGGCATTTAAGCAAATTAAGGGCTCAATTAATAGTATGTTTCATAAAAACATAGCATACGATTACATTCATACTATTTAGTCACATCATCACATGTCCGCAGCTCATGTGGCAAACTGTCACGTATAGAGTAAATACAATAATTGTTTTTATATTTTATCTTATTTGTTATTGTAGATTATCAGCATTGTAGCAAGCAAAACATCATAAACCTTTTTTTTATATTTTTTCAAAACTGACATCACACGATGAAAATATCATATCACATACAATAAATTCTTTAAGAGATATGCATCTTACTTTCCGCTGCAATTCTAGCTCAATATTGGCGCTGATTTTAAAACTTGTATCATATTGTTTGCACTAGCAACTCTAATCACATCACGTCGCACAATAGTCACATCAACTGTATATCAACATTACTTATTATATACGAAAATATAACCAGAATGTATAAAATACATTAACAGCATATCATATACATTTTTTTTGACTGATCATCATGACATAACACCAATAAATTTTTTTATTTTTTTTTATAAAAATCACAACTTCTCGTCACATCACTTGCATATTCAAAGCGCTCCACATCAATTCAAAAAAAGAATCACTAAAAACACCATAAATTCATCAAAAAATAAAATCATCACCAAATTTATACAAACTAACCGTTAGCATATACAAAAACTTCAAAACTACTAACTCCGAAGCGAACCAATCATACAACTTGCAATCAAGTCCAATCAGTCACGTCAACACCACTAAAATAAGCAAAGGGAAATATGAGACACAAATGACAATACAAATTCTGTTTTTATTTTTGATTTTATATAAGAAAGCGTAAGTAAAATGAAAAAAAAAAGATTTAACAAATTTTTTCTAAGAACGAAACAAGCAAGACAAATGATGTGGCCATAAACAAAAAAATTAAAAAAGTAAAATAAACTTAAAAAACGCGCTCTTTAAAGCAAATGCAATAAAAAATTTCACACTAAACTATTTTATACTAAGAACTTAAATAATTACTAAACAATATGCATACAAATATTTTAAATAAAAAATAATAAAAACTTCATAAAAGTGAGTAGTTGAAAAAAAAAATTGATGAAAAATCCAAAAAAAATATACTGGCTAAAGCTTCAAATTTATTTTAAAAGTAAAATATTAAAAAAGTATTATTAACTAAAAGCTAAAACAATAAAGTTGCCACTTACGTGCAAAAAAACATTCAAACAAACATACAAAATGAATCAACTCAAATTTTTTGCGAATAAAGCTTAAACGTTAGTACTTCCCGCCGTTTGAACATTTTCTGTATAAAAAAAAAATTAAGGAAACAAAAATATATTTCAAGTGAATTTACCTACAAGAAAATACACACACAAATAACAGTACATAGATAGCGTTAGTTGAAAAGGCGCACACAGTTTTAAAACTTTCTTTAACTATTTAGATTTTTTTCGGTAAAATTTATTAAAACTTATATAATAAAAAGTAATGTAAAGAAAAAAATTATAAAAAATAATAATATAAACAAAAAATATAATTATTATTGATAAAAATTTAAAAATCTCAATTAAGTGGCAGCTTTCGCCAACAAACAGTAATTTAAAGCTGTGGTTGACTGCAATGTTGAGTGTTGTGTGATGTGACGAAGAATTGTATACAAACCTAGCTGACTTTTCTACAACAAACATACTACGAGTAAAGTGAGGTTAAGGTGATTTGCTTGTTTCAGAAAAACAAAATTCGTAACTGCTGCTTACATAAAAATGTGGCAAAAAGAAAATTAGACAACAAATGGACAATATTGAAATGAGTTATTCACACATTTAAACGAGTTTCTGTCAAACTTTTTGACAGCTGTCAGTGATTTGTCAATTTTCACACATCAAAAAACTATACATTACTTGTAGGCATTGACAGCTGTCATAGAATATTAATTAAAGCTTACAAATTTCAAATTCTAAATGTCAATTTCTTTCAAACTTAAAAACAGTTAAGCATGTGCTTTCATAAAAGCGTAATATCAGTTGGATGTCAATTTTAAGTGTAATGAGAAAAAATATATAAGTGAGTAAGTAATAAAATTTAAGAATAGCAGGGATGCGAAAACTGCTGGAATGGTGTGTGATTTGAGTTGCAAATTTTGAAATTAAAAGTCAAAACAACATATTTGAACAATTTTAAATCAATAAATCAAGTTTTAAAATGTCTGTAATTAGAAAACAATTTCAAAATTAAAAAATCAATAAAATGAGTTTTACATCATTTTCCGCTGTATTTAGAAAAAAGTTTTAAATAATAATTTACACTTAGTATTTTTTAAATAATTTTAAATTTTTTGAATTTTCCAAATAATACACTTATTTCCTAAGCCACTTTTAATTATTATTTTGGCTCAAAGTAGTGGATTTCAACGCTGAAAATTATTATTTTTTTTTTTAAAACAACTTCTAAAAAAAAATTTTAATTTAGTTCAAGTTTTTTTTAATAAAAATTCTTGAAAATATTAAATTTATTTAATATTTAAATTTTAGACAAAAAATTCTTAAAAATTTTAAATTAAATAAATTTAAAATAAGAAAAAATATACATATTGTACATATGTCGGCAAAAATTAGTAAAAGTACAGAATTAATATTCAAGATTTGTTTATCAAATGTCAAAATTTTAGCCAACTTCTGATTAAAAATGTCGGAAAAATTTTAAAAAGTAAATCCAGTTCAAATAAAACATAAATTTATTAGAATGAATTTAGAAGTAAAACTCAAAAACAATTACAAATAGTTAAACAGCTGTCAACACCAACAAAATAAGCGTAGTTTTTTATAGTAGGGGGAAAGAACAACCGGATTAAGTAATACTTCATGGAAGAGAAAAAGTTATTGAAGTCTCCTCTATGGTACAGACTGACTGACTCCTTATCTATTGTAAGTATTTTAGTTTCGTCATTATTAGAGCTGACAGCTTTCCATTTATTAGAGGACTGACACATCTGTGCTGTGAAAGTTTCCACCGTAAAACTACCGCCGAATGTAGATTTTCCCTTATATTTCTAAAACGGGGGCACTGAAAAACGATGTCTGATGAAATTGGAACAGATACCTTCTAACGCATCCATGCCCAAACGTACAGAATGTCTTCAAAAGCGAAATTAAAGCTTATTTCTGCTATTTTAAATAAAAAATTTCTTGGAAAAAAATTCATAAAAATATATATTAAATTTTAAAATATTTAATTTAGTTGAGTAGATGTTTTGCTTTCGTTTTTAGTTTAGTGTCGATAGTATAAAAAAATATATTGCTACTTTTTTTATAAATATTGTCTCAGCTTTAGAATGACATTGAAAACGCGGTATGCAGTGTTGCTGAAATATGGAAATGTAAATGGAAAGTGTGACTTTTAGAAAATTTAAAAATTCAAATAAATGGCAGTAAATTTTTGAATTTTAGCTTTTGAAATTAAAAATTAATTGATCTAGTTTTAATTTAAATTTAAATCTTTCAATTATATAAAAAAGAAGTAAAAAATGTTTTAATCGAGGTTAATATAAAGAAACGAGCTAAAGAAATTTCTTTGATTACTAATTTTTCGCCCCGCCCTCTTTTTAAATAAAATGTTTGCTTGTGTTGTTCTTATGACCGCACAGTGACTATTGCTACTAAACTACAATAAATGTATTAATGCAAAAAGAGAAATATTAAAAATACATTTTAAAATATATACATATATATACAAATATCACTACCGACAAAAAAGCATTTCGTGTACTCGTCTTTCAAATGTATGTATGTTTAGACAAATGATTAGGCAAAATTAGACAAGAAAAAAAATTATTACAAATTCAAAAGGTAATAAAATAAAATTTAAAAAAGGTATGGCTATGCTGATAGTAGAGTTGCAGCGTACACTTGAACAAGTGGCACAGCAAATGCAAGTAAAAACTTATAAAAGAATGTTGAACAAGTGGAACAGCTGCTTAAAAACAAATAAATGGCAGTAAATTGCGGTTAGAAAATTAACTAAAACGATCAGAAACTAAACTGCATTAGCAGCAAAATAGGAAAGTTTAAAAATTTAAATTAAAAAATAAAAAAGCTACAACTTACAGGCATGTAGCTTAGTTTAAACAAAATGTATATGCAAACAATGGTGATGTGAAATTTACGGAGAAAGGCGAACAATTGCATTTATATTTTTAATTAATAATTATGTTATATTTTATATTAAAAACTAACAAATACAATTTGCATAAGTTTAAATGTGTAAATTTATAATGAAAGCGTTAATTTATAAAAATTTAACAAATTTAGTAAAAAGAGCTAACCAACTTTCATAAATGCAATTAATTTAAAGCGCAAAATAAATATGATTTAAAAAACATTATTTAGAATACATACTTAAAATAATTGAAAAATCATTGAAAAACAAACTGCGTAGAAATGTTAGACATTGTTAGACTAATAATGTTGTAGGCGGGGCAAAAGCAAAGCAACTACACAGACACATACAGCAAATAAAGAAAAAAATTATTATAAATGTGTAAGTTTGTAGTGTTAGCACACGTAACTGCATATTTGATAGGTTATAAGCAGAACGCATGGAGGCATGATAGTTGATTGCACAATTTGTGCGCGCTAGTGTAGTTGAATATAAGAGACATAGTAGAAATCAAATTCTGCGCGCACAAGCAATTCAAACAATTTGTAGTTGGCAAAGAACAAGCACTGATATCGAAAAAACAATTTTAGGAAAACGCAGCATAATAAGAAAAAATAATCAATTAACTGTTAATTTTAAACAATTGTGCGTGCATTTAACGGTGCAGGCAAGTTAAGGAATTTGTACAGTGTGCGCGCTAATTATAATTAAAAATGATGGTATGCATACAGTTGATAAATAAATATGAATTATAATTAAATAAAAAGAATATTGATTATAATTAAATAAAGTAATTAAATATAATTGAATTGTATTTGAAGAAGAGTTATAATGCATTGATATGTAATTGAGATGTGCATTTGAATGGATGGTTTAAGTAAACAAATATATAAATAAAAAATAAGTAACAAATCACAAAGGTATTGTATACAAAAAATATAATATGAAAGTAAATTGCTTAGCTTTGTGTTAAATTGCTGTTAAATGTATAAGTATCAATTGAAATAATAATGAATATTTAAAAACGATATAAACTGAATACTATTAAAATGAAATAAAACACTGAAACACACACACGTACATAAACCAATGAAAAACAATAAAGAATTGTGAAAAATATACCAAAAAAATATTTAAAAATAAAGTTGTTGGTTTTACTTTAAAGCAATGGTTTAAAGTGGAAGGATAAAGGGAAATGTTTGGAAATTTTATTTATTAAATGCATATTTAAATAATTTAGGGTCGCGGTCAGGAATTTGTGTGGTTATTGGTCAAAATATGACATTTGAAATTTCAATTAATCAATGGAAATTGAAAGTTTTCTATCGAATATTTAAAATTTTACCGAATTAATAACTAATTACCTATTTCAAAATATTATTATTAACTTGCGTAAATTTTAGAATTTACTTTAAATTTCGGGGTTAAAATGAGCATGTGCTGCAGGAGGTTCTCCAGTTTAAGAACAAAGGCTAGACTTTTAATAGTTTTAGTATTTTTTGGGTATTGTTTTATGTATGAGAATTCTATAATTTTAGTATCAGTAAAGTTCTATGAATTATTGTAATAGTCTTTTATGGAAAATCTTTTAACAACGCGCCAATGTGGATCTATCCTTTGCGTATGTGTTCCGTTCTGTGCAACAAAAGGATTATCAGGATCAGTGTGCTTTACCTTTTGATGCTCATAGCCATTATATCTTATAATTTCCAAATTTTAGTAATATTCTTAACTGTTTATACTGAGTTGCAGAAAACAAAAGCGCGGTTCAAAGAATAACTAACGGAAGCTGTCAATTCAACAGCTAGGAAAAATTCAAAACGGAAAGTAATCGGAAGATGTGACGCAAACTTATCGATAACAAAAACATACAAGTTTGAAGAATTTGTAAAAAATATAGCAAAAATTACAAAGCAAAAAAGAAAATATGCATATTCATACATTTATAATATTTTTTTGTATATAATAAAATTTTATTTGCATATATTTTAACAGTTTTATTAACCGTTCACATTTACAATACATCCAACAAATATGCAACTATGTGCCATAGCAATCACTGAACACACCACATAACAGAACAGCTGTTCGCAATCTTCTACCTTGAATATTTGCAAATATATTCTAACCTAATAGACGTAAAAAGTTTATTAAGTAGCTCAGTGGGTATTTATAAATGGAAACAAATCACCGATAAACATTATATATATTATACGTAAAAGATATTAATAAATTTAGTAAGCGAAACGTTACGGGAATTGTGATGCAAGGAGTAGGCACAGCGACGACGGATTTTCAAAAGCCGCAACCACATCATCTGCAGCAGCAACAGCAACAAACACAAACACGACGGAAGCAGCAAGTGCCCATGAATAATGTAAATGATTGGAGGCCATTCGTTTACGGTGGACTAGCGTCAATAACAGCGGAATTTGGTAAGTGCTTCCTCGCTAGTTGTGAGAGGTGTACCGCAATGAAAATTTAGATTGGAGTATCAACGGTAAACAAGTTACCAAAAATACTTTGATTATGCTGCAGGCATCAGCGCCTGTTGGCATGACGCAAGTGTATAATTTGTGCCTATAAGCCGTTCCGAACGGGTAAACAAGTGCTGTATATACCTACAAGGCAGAGCAATTGTGTAGGTAGTTGGTTTCGCGTAATTTGTGTTATGCAGCTAATGACGTTGCTAGCACAGCGCAACGACACTCTTATCTCGTGCTTATTGCTTACATGCACAGCGTATACGTCCCGCTTGTGCATGTGTATATGCTATATAAATAATATTATATTTTAAAGCTGTTTTATTTGTTTAATATACAAAAATATTTGTGTCATTACGATCCACAGGTACTTTTCCGATTGACACCACGAAAACGCGCCTCCAAATTCAAGGTCAAAAAATTGATCAAACATTCTCGCAGCTTAGATATCGTGGCATGACCGATGCCTTCATAAAAATATCACAAGAGGAGGGCCTACGTGCTCTCTACTCGGGGTAAGTGCTATCATGAAGCCACAAATGTATTTAAATGCATATTTGTACGTGTTTAGCTGTGGTTGTGTTATACTTTCAAGTGCAATAAACTGCTTATATTAAAATCAAGTTTTATTAAATAATTACGCTTTTGTAAGGTACGAACGTTGAAAACGTTTATTTGAAAATGTGTGTTACTTTTTAGAATTTATCGAAATCAGAAAACAGATTTTTAAATTACATATAGCAACTGTGTCATGAGAAAATCTGTTTTACTTTATATTACTAAAAGCTTAGGGGATTCACAAGTCGCACTGTTTGTTGCAATTCTATAATTGCAATATTGTTGAAAACAACTATGAGTTTTTGATTTTGATGCAACTCTGAAAGTATGAGTCTTTAATGTCTGTTTATCCATTAGCTGTTTCTGTTTATAATAAATTGTGCAAAAGTAAACGTTTAACGCTTATAAAAATTAAATTTACCAAAAAGTTTAAACTTAAATTAAGAATTTCAAATCTAAATAGCAAACAGAATAATGCTTGAAATGTTATAAATAATTAAATTTAACATATATGCCTTTTAATGAGGAAGTAAAGTTGTTCGTGTGAAATAAGGCCCATTTTTACATATTTTTTTTATAAAACAGTTAAATTTTATTTATCAAAACCAATGTCAAATTATAGTATAACATTTAAAGAATAAAAAAGTTGAATTACGGTGCCACTCATAATATGGGCCTGGATTATCTAAAATCGTGAAATCAAAATTATAACGTTAGTTAATTATCACTGCGGAAGAGGATTTTCGAAATTTCAATTTTATCACTTCTTGGGAACACTGGAGAAAAAAACGAGATTAAAAAAAATCTGTTTATTTGTTATTGTAAAATGAAAATATAAAGGAATTTGAAAAAACTACAGCGTTACCTCGTAAATTATGTATAGAAATAGTGCTCAAATTTTCAAAACGATCGGTGCTGTTATTTTGAAGTTATGAGGACCACCGACTTTGAAAACGTGAGTTGAAAGCTGAGAGAAAAGTTGATTTCGGAAAACAAAAATTTAAAATCTACTCCCTAATCTATTTTTGCAAAACTTGTGTACGCCATAATTATATTTTATTTTTATTAAATATTGTTTGTGTTTTATAAACTAGATGCGCAGAATTCTTTGGTTTGTCAGTAGACAATATCTTCCAGATTTCCATTAATAGAACACACAGCTTTCTACCAGCAAAAACCAGCAACGATTATATATTTCACATTTGAAACCTATTTAAATAAATTAAATGACGAATATACAATACTTAAGCCGATAAGCTATAGTAATTGATGATTGTATGGCAGTAGTAGCTGTTAAAGGCAACAAAATCATGACCATCACGTGTTGCTGCAAAGTTGTGTACTTATACATGAAATATTAGTTAACACAACGATAACAAATGCAGATATGTAATTAGCTGCATGCTTTTCATAGCCAATTTGTGCATATGTTTGTTCACAGTAATCTGTTTTTTCAGCTTTCATGCGTCATACAGTATAATACCCTACATGGTTCTTTAATATTAACCCGTAGATAAAGAATATTATGAAACAGCGCTGTGTTATGCTTTAATTAAGCTGCTTATCTCATCGTTTTTCCGTTCCCTTACAGCTATTTCCGCTTATGCTCTTTAGAGTCACAAATTTATTTATTTACACATTTTTTGTTTCAAAATATTTATTGCACTATTGTTTATTGCTTGAGTTCACCTTTATCAACAATCAAGCGTTCGCTATTTGCTAATCGTTGCTTATTAAGGGGCTTGTTCGCACTGTAAATTATAGCTAGTCATAATAAATTGAAATTTATAAACTACCACGTGATTAAATTGCTAGATAATCAATATAATTTTTGTTGAAAATAAAGCAGTGAATATAATAGGTAAACACAAAATTTGTAGGTTATGCCAAGGTTGCGAATTTTTCAATAAAAATTTTTTGGATTAAAACATAAAATTTCAATTTTAATTTTCACTTTTTTTTTGGGTTTAAAAATTTTTAATTTTGTTTTTTTTTTAATTTAAAAATTAAAAATATTATTTCTTAATTTAGTAATCGAACTTGAAACATTAATTTTTAATCCCAAATATTTTGAATTAAAAATTGAGAAAACATATTTTTATTTAAGAATTGGGAGTAACAAATAAAAAAAAATTTCAAATTCAATTTTAATTATTTTTCAAATGAAAAGGGATAAAAAAGAAAAGATTTAATATTAAAAGTTTAAAATTTAATTTTTAATCTCAAACATCTTCTTCTTGATTTTTTTATTCAAAAATTGTAGTAAAAAAATATATTTTAATCAATTAATTTGAATTAATACTTTTTTTATACGGATTTTTGGGTTTAAATACTTTTTATTACATATTATATTAGAAAATTATATATAGAAAAAATAATAACTCAAATCTTAATGCATATAATCTTATTTTTAATGCATTATTTCCAACTCTGGGTATATTATTAAGATATTTTGAAAACTTTTATTTACAGTTATAACGGTAACATTATTTCGCATGTATTTCTATGTAAATACTTCTTTCAATACAAATATTTAAATCATTAAAATTTTACTCTTTTAATGTTATTCTTAAAATTCTTCTAAAACTCGCCCCCTCAGCATCTGGCCAGCCGTGCTGCGTCAAGCTACCTATGGCACTATCAAATTTGGCACCTATTACACGCTCAAAAAATACGCGCACAATTACGGTTTACTTGTGGATCATGAAACCGGCGCTGAACGTGTCTGGGCGAATATTTTGTGTGCTGCCACGGCAGGTGCCGTCTCCTCGGCCATAGCCAATCCAACGGATGTGTTGAAAGTGCGCATGCAAGTGCATGGCAAAGCGGCGCATCAACATGGTTTATTCGGTTCATTCCTGGAAATCTATCGCTATGAAGGTGTACGCGGGCTGTGGCGTGGCGTTGGACCAACAGCGCAGCGTGCCGTCGTTATTGCCTCGGTGGAGTTGCCTGTATATGATTTTTGTAAAATGCAATTGATGACTGCATTTGGCGATCATGTTGCGAATCATTTTATGTGAGTGTGTTGTGGGCTTTAGAAAACATACATATGTTAATAACTGTTATATTACTTTACAATTGCAGCTCCAGCTTTATAGCCAGTTTGGGTAGCGCAATCGCCTCCACGCCAATCGATGTGATACGGGTATAATTGTTTATATAGATTTTTATACACTAAACAGAATATATTAAGTTTGCAAAGAAGTTTATAACACACAGAAGAAAACGCCAGAGATCCTATAAAGTGTATACATAGGTATATAAATAAACACCGTGTCGAGTTGTGTCGATTTAGTCATATCCGTCTGTCTGTATATACACAAACTGTACACTTTCCTTCTCCCCAAGAAGCTGCTTATATGTCGGATACACACTAACGGAAAAATATAAAGCCTTTGTATGGAAAAATCTTTCACTTTACACTCGGAATGGTGCAAGAGGGCCTTATAAGAGCCAGGGTCGAAATCGGACGATAGGCCTGGAACCGCCCACGTTTAGGGGAAATCATATATCTCCGGACCTACTCGGCCAAATTCGGTGCATAACATTATCCTGATAGTCCTATGTTATAGTGCAAAAATGTGTGAAATCGGACTGCAACCACGCCCACTTCCCTTATAGCACAAATTTAAAGTTCATATGAATCTTTCACTTTCCAATAGACAAATCAAGCACCTATTAATATATGGTATGCAATCACAAGGAGCTAAAAACTGTGAAATTCGGACCATAACTGTTCAAGCCCTTACACACCATGTGGACCCCAGGGCGTATAGCTAACTTTTTGCCGAAAATATCAGTAATTTTGTGAGATATATTATTGAAATTTGGCGAAAATATTTCTTTTATAATAATATATCCTCTTGTCAAAAATGGGTTGAATCGGGTTAGTGCTTCCTTTAGCTCCCATAAACCTAATTAGATTTTTGACTTTATGCCACATATACCGGCCAATGTGGGAGTTATTTTAATGAAATTGAGAGCGCCTGTTTTTCAAATAACTGTGTATCTTTCTGCCTAAAATGGATAAAATCATGCGAAATCTTACCTTAGTCCTTATAACAGATATTCAGGATTTTAAAACGTCCGGCTGACTTTACTACATACATATATATGTTTACATTTATATATTTATAAGATTGCTTGAAAATAAGTTGTCATTTATACCTGAACAATGTCAAAAATTAATGCAATCAGCCCTTTCTCTATTTCTCTGCTCCCAATATATCCTATATAATGTTTTCCGACTTTCCATCTGACTTTAAATCTTTTAGGTTGTTCAAAATGTGTGATATTTTAGTGAAATTAAGTAGACAAGCTTGCTTCAAAATTATATGGTTTGGCGCTCAATATAAATGAAATTCTTGGTCTTAATCTAAACCTCATATTCCTAATATAATGAATTCCAAACCTTTGATTGACGTTTTTCACATCAGCTCAATATATTAAATTAAGCCTCTTCGGTTGAGCTTATGTCAGATATATCTCACTTGAGTTTGGTTTTAGCATAATTTTGCTGACGCGAAGTAAAATATAGTAATAAAATTAAGTGAGTATATGACCTTCAAAATAAGTTAATATCATAGCGAATTTGACTGTAATTCATTCACGATCTCGTCGAACAATGGAACTGAACCCTTTCGCTACACATTTTAATATTGCAATACCAGAAGGTATTAGGCCGGCTTTAGTACTTGTAAGTTACAAGCGTATAAAATGTTCGGTTACACCAGAACTTGCGCCTTCCTTACTTATTCTTATTTTCTTTTATAAATTCTTGAATTAATTAACTGTAAATTTCTTTGCAGACGCGTCTCATGAATCAGAAGCATTTAACGGTTGTTAATGGCGTGGCGGTGGCGAATACGCAAAAGCTTTACAAAGGCAGTTTCGACTGCGCGGTGCAGGTGTGTACGAAAAAATTCACAGTTTTGACTATTTAAACATATTTGTGCAATAATTCTGTGCATAAATGTATATATTATTTAATTATTATACAATAATATTACCAAAAATTTATATTTTTTAGACTGTCCGCAACGAAGGCATATTAGCGCTCTACAAAGGCTTTATACCCACCTGGGTGCGCATGGGCCCTTGGAATATCATATTTTTCATAACCTACGAACAATTAAAGAAACTCTAAAAACATTTCATCAACATCTTTGTACAGTACAAGCCGCATTTACAAGGACTTTTCAAAATAAAATATTTTATTATGCATAAGTAGTGTAACGCCTTTCAAGCCAAAAAGTAAATGGTAGCCTGTAAGCTTATAGTATATGATATATATAATATATTTATAACGAAGTGTAAATTTAGAAATATTAGCGAAATGTTAATGCAGTTCTTTAGTAATAACAAAGTAACCTTTTTAAGCGTAAAACAACAACAACACATAATCGTAATTTGTACATTGTTATAGCCACTGCTATAATATCTACTAACCAGCGCTTGCTAACATCATGTTAGCATGCTGAATTTATTGCTGTGCAAGAAGTTGGTAAATTTGATTAAAAAACACTTGCAAAATTGCGCAAAATATTGTTAACTACAAGTATTTGTTAAACTAGTAATAAGTTATTGGTTATATTAAACTGTTTACTTTTTAGCGTATTGTAGTAGCATTGTTTCTTTTAATTACAAATAAGTAGCACAAATGTATTACGAAAAGTCGTACCACTAATATTTTGCATAAATATACACATACAGACATATGTCGGGACATATGTAGATGTGTGTGTGTGTTAAGTTAAAATATATGTACTAAATATTTTTTACGAAAATCGATTATTTATATTCAAAATGTATTAATTCATTGCTTGCATTTTACTGCTACTACTACAAAAACAACCATATATGCTCTATCTCTGTATTTTCTAATTCTAATTATAAATTATGAAAAAAATATTTTATTTTCATATTTTATATTTCTGCATTTTTTTATATTAATACTACAGCGCGACTATATATTGATAAAGTACGCTTTTATTAGCATTTCACATTTATTTTAAAGCTTTATATACATACAGATATCAAAAATGTTTACGCCTATATTTTTACATAAATATATTAACTATTTTTGTTAGCAAAAATCGATGTTTGTTATATATACTCATTGTAGCCACAAGCTATTTGAATATATCTTTAATTTTATTGTTACTTTTTAAGCACTCAAAAATGTTGTTACGTGATTTTACTATTGTGAAATAGCTAAAAAATAAACGAGTAGTTGTTTAAAAAGCAACAGCGAAACTAGGAAATTGTTAAACCAAGCGAAAGTAGAATTATTTATGTCATATTGAGCATATAAGCTTTTGTACTCGGGTGGGTCTAATAAAAAGGAGTGCCCACATATATATTTAGTCCGAAATTGACAAACCAAATAGTTTTGAGCTTATTTTTATGTTATCAACACATGCCATAAATTTGCAAATCTAAATTTTTAACGTTAAAAAATTGGGTTCAAAATTAAAATCAGAAAATTTTAAATTTTTAAGGGGTTATCAAAGAATGTAGATTTATAGCAGAGAATAAAGAGATTTTTGGAAAACACTAATTTCGTACAAAACTATAAGCTTTGCCAATTGGCTGATGACGTTTTTTCATTAAGTTATAAAATTCAAAAAAAAAAAGAAATTTGCCTTTAAATAGTCAAACTTCACCCGGAGCAAAATGTATAGTAAAATACATAACAACAACATTTTCATTTATGAAGGCAAGCGCACTTTCAGCAAGCTAAGTTGATTCATATTGTAGTTGATAATATTGTAAGTGAAGATTCAAGTTTGACTTAACATGAGATTACTAATGCCATAGGCTTCTCAGACGAACGAGTACTTCGCAAAAACGCCAATCAGCCATTGATTGTCCGTGACAACGGAGATTTCGCATAACGCAATGAGTGAAAATATTTACATACATATGTATGTTGTGTGTAGACAAATTAACAAACATTATGCGTATGGTTTTTTTTATATTGTATTTGTTTACATGCAGACATAGTTATATGTACATATACATATGTATGTGCATATATGCGACCGCTTAGTGCCCAAACAGTCACCAACATTCCCCCTTTCGTACTTACCGCCCATATCAAACCAAATTTGTCAAAAGTTATGCCCGTAGTTGCAACGCAAAAATCAGTTGTTCTCTTTTGTTGTCATTTCACCAATGTTGCCATTGTTCTCTGTTCACGATTACTCACACATTTAGTTTTTTGGATATAATTTTTCATAATGTAAAAGTTCAAAACTAAAATCCAACTATTAAAAAGTTTACCTATTTATAAATAAGTTTATTCGACTGTGATTTTATGTTATTTTAAGAATATTTCAAATATATTCAAGTTTATTTTTTTATTACTACAAAATATCGAGATTGGCAGCCATGCGTTGCAAGAGATTGCTCTCTCATTCTCAGCTCACTCGTTTCTACGGGAAAAATCCAATTTTCGCAAATATCCTACCGTACGGTTTGTTGAAGCGAACGGTAGAAGCGGTGGTGACTGATCATTTACATTACGCTCTCATAAGATAGGTCGCATCAGCTGATTCGGGACACAGTTTTGCGTCTGTGACTGTTTGTGCCTTTAATAGTCTTTTAAGTATGTTATCAAAACTTTTAATGCGCAAAACAAATAAATAAACATATATACATATTTATATTTAAATATATAAATCAGCAAACTTATATTAGCTACATATTTAGGTAATGATACAAACCTCATTTTATTTAATATTTCAAAAGATTTAATGAAATTCGTCATTAAATAGTCCAATTTGTACGTGCAAATGTATATACTTATGTGCTTTAATATCAAATATATATTTAGAATAACCATAAATTACTAGAAGACCCCGTCCACGCGTTGCTGTGTTATACATTAATTATAAACTATTCAATACATTAAAATTGTATTTATGAATAAAAACGAATACGTACATATTTTCCGGTGTAAGCATAACCCCGTGGATCACTTCCAAATTTGAAAATGATAAATTACTCGATTTGTTATTAAGCACACATAAACATAAAATATATAATGTTGATTATTTTATTTTATTAATTTTATATACAAGTTTGTTACAAATGATTAGTTTTCAATGTTGTTAGTTGATAACATTTAAGATAATGAAAAAGGTTAAATTATTCTTAATTTTCAACTATAATATACATACATATATACATATGTATTATAAACATTTTCAAATTCAATTTAATTCAGCTCTTTTCGTATCGTACATTTTAACAGTATCATTGGAAAACGTGGCAAGAGGACTATTTCACCATAAAATTTTCCAGTCAAACGGTTGCTACACTAATATTTTCTGTAATATTTTTGATTATCAAACGTGTACCATTGCATAATTGAGGTGAATTGAAATTACTCTGAATGATAATATTTGCACAATTTTTAAACGAAGATTATGTGATATCATGTCGAGTATGTCTACAATAGATAATTATGCTTTCATTTTTATCAGCAACAGTGGCGAATAATTTAAAATATGTACATTCGATAGCCTAGCAACAACTGTTGTAACTGGAAACTAACTTCATTAAGTTATACATTTTTGGCCGCTAATGTAGCCCGATTACAGAGCTAGTTATGATCCAAACAATTAATTTTTACTGCATATTTGGTTGCAGTTCTATTCTACCATTGCCAATATCTAAATATTTTATTATTTCTGAGGATGAATCAGTTCGGAATTGTTTGCAAATATTTGTGTTTTAATGATTACTTAAACATTCGTTAATCTCATTGCCTTAAGATAAGTGAAGAATGATCGGGCTGTCGGCAATCCCAGACAGTGGTAAGACAGCACCACCGAAAACTTCATCGTTGCCGTGTAAATCTTGCATTGTTCTGTGCTATGCTTTGCGAATATTTGTGAGCCATGATGCACTCACCTCAAATTATAATTGAACTTTTTATCAACACTGAAGCTATTCCGCACTTTTTCATATTTGATGTTGCGTTTGGGTTGTTATAAATGCCTTTGCGTCGTTCGCACATAATCTAGCAAAGTAGCCGCTATGCCTGCAACTATCCATGCGATTTACTGTTGTGATATTAAAAATGTCTTACCGGTTCGTTATTATTAATATATTGTTATTATTATTATTATTATTTTTAAGTAATAACATTTTCAAATGATTCTTACATTAATTTTGAACCCAGGCTTATGGTTTGAAATATAATTTTTGTATGGATTATATTGTTATACAAATTTTCCTATGTATGTAAGTTCCCTGTTTCTAATCTATCTCCCCACCAATTTTTAGTCAATTCGGTTAAACCGTTCTTGAGTTATAAAGATGTATATAGATATTTTTATGATAAAACTTACCGTTTTGCTGAAAATCGCATAAAAACTATATTTGACTTTTAACCTTGAATCGAATTTTTTCCATACAGGGGAAAGATGTGGAACTTTGAAATTTTATTTATAATTATATTTTAAGCGAACTCACCAATTTTCAGCTTGCTGTGAATTTATGTAACTTCAAATGTCTAAATTGACCGGACTATATTGTAACTAACACGACTATCGTTTAACATATATGTTACCATATATGTCTACATACTTATATGTAATATTTAATATATAAGATTACGAATTGTTTGTATGTGAGTAAAGAAAGGTGTTGTTCTTAGGCTTTTTCAGACATTTTTTTCTCTGCGTAAGTATAATCCTCGTACTCCAAGCAATATTCTAAAAAAAAGAATTAGCAAAATCGGTTAAGTTGTCCTCGAGAATTGCGCTTAGCAACACATTCAGTGAGCTTTTATTAGCCTCACCTGTCTGTTTGTATGTTTCTAACTTTTTTCTGTACAAGCGATGACTTGAGTATAAATCGAGATATCTTGGCGAAACTTGCTGTATACGAGCTTTTTAGCACTTTTCCGTACGCTGTGAAAATGCATATAATCAGATAATAGCCACGGCCACTCCTCTTATAACGGTTATGTTGAACACTACTACTATGTTGAAGACTTTTATGGGAGTAGGTATAAAAAATTTAAAAATTGGCGTGACAACACCAACCTTTAGGTTAGATCCTATATCTCAGGAACTATCCGATCAATTTCAACCAAATTTGGTATGTGAGATTACACAGCCATTCCTATCACATACTGTGAAAATGGCCGAAATTGTACAACGACCATAAAACTATGCTGCTAAAAGAATAAAGAGAGTGAAAACACCAGGTGTGGCTAAATAATACGTATGGGCAAGCTTTGTCTAATCGCGCATTTCAAAAGTATTGAAAAATTCGACACTTGTGAGCACCCCTTAATCGTTGCATGTCATATCAGAGAACTTAGAAGAATTTACGTTCTCTGGTTGTGTGTCTTATCAAATAATGTTCTTTTACGTTCTCTCGTTGGACCTTCACTACAATCTACGTTCTCTGCTTAATGTTTACAAATGTGATATACAATATTTTCACCATATGGTGAAATGGAATATCAAAAGCTCTTTCAGGCTGTGTGCCTGAATGCCGTCCCTAAATAAAAACGACAGCGGTAAATTACTGTCAAAAAATTTTGAAATTTTGCTTGTAGAAATGAATGTAAGTATTATTAATAAATTAATTCGTTTTACATTTGATTTGTTTTGTACTAATTTTACCATTGAAGTGAGAATTTGACGTAAGGTTGCCGCTTTATTTAGGGATGCCGCGTCGGCGTTAACGTTGAGCAGTAAAAAACGCGCAGCTCGACGCTATGCTTTAGGGACGGCAGTAAAGGTAACATTTTTATCTATGTACATACATATGTTGAGGTGGAGTGAAAAAATGTCTTATGGTGTAAACAAATTTTATATTTTCCTGTACCAATCGGAGGGAAGATTTTGACATTTGAAATTCGAACAAACGCAATTGCGTTGTTTGAATTTTCGTGTTGGTAATTTAATTATTAAATACATTCGCAAAATGAATAAAATTTAAAGCAGCAACTTTGCTTTGCTAATTTCAATATTAATGAGATTATAAAAATGCATTAATTTAAAGATTTGAAATTAATTGAAAATTTTAGGCAACGTGCCAGGCTATAGGCAATATAGGCACTTCTATATTGAGTGTAATAACTAATGACATTAACAAATGAATAATTACAAATTAATAACATATTTGTTATATATGTCATGCAGCGGTTCTTATAAATTCGTTTATATATTTATAAGTTGTCAAAAATGTACCTAGCTCGCATACTGGTTAAATTCTGACATTCGGATTCACCACGAAAAATGTCGAAATTTCACTTTCATCGTCAGAATTTTCACTTACAATTCAATTTGGCATACAACTTTAAACATATTAATTAGGGGTTTATTTTCTATTGAGAAATTGATTTCAGAGTTGGATGTTCTTTTGCCTCCATAAAGAGCTGATGGATAACTATATAGACCCATATGTAAATATACATGCCTATGTTTTTCGCGAATAGGACTTTACCCATCGGCGAAACAACGATTTGAATCAATTGTATGGTGTATGACCTGCTTAAGTCGTTTGAAAAAGTATTGGTTTAATAAATGTAATAATAAGGGAAAGCTTTTGGCGAAGGTATAAAAGCTTGGACAGCTGTTTGTTGGCATTCAGTGAATTATCCACATCGATAGCTAAGTATATTTCTATTTCTAGTGTGCCGGTAGTTTTCCATTGTGTTTCAGGTTAGTAATATTTTAACTAAAGGAAAAGAATTTGTTTTTTAATGCTGATCAACTTTCAGGATATCGTTGTAATTTGCTTCTAATTCATTAAAAAAATCATAATGTCGGTTCCTAATGTGGTTCTAAATAACGGAGAAAAGATTCCCATCCTTGGTCTAGGTACATGGGGCGTAAGTAACCATATAATATATAACGTGCATTTAATATAGCTATTGTGAATATGTGCAACAGTATTCATATAAATATATACATACATACATACATACTTTATATCATGGTATGATTTACGATGCTTTATATGGACAAATATTTAATAAGGCAATTTATGTGGTTCTGTATGATCGTAATAGTTGATAGTAATTCCGCGCAAAATGCGCAAAAACAAAAGCTCGTACTGTTCGCAAAAGCAGTTTTAAGTAATTTTAGAAAAGTCTTAATGCATATTAAACAATCTTTTACATCGTCATGTTCGATTATTGTTTTAATAGTAATTGAATTTCTGTAAAGGTATTAACCACCACTGAATTAGCACATTCTTTTAAATTTAGTAGTATATAAAAATATTTGATAAGAAATTGCCTAAGTAGATAGTAGACAGAATTAATAGTCATGGTCGTTTTCTAATTATATTTAAATGTTGAATTTATTATCACTATTGACTACACTCTCATGTATTAATTAGAACCAATATGATTGCTCATGTATGTACCTAATAAGAACTAGTTTAGTCCACAACTTAGATAATATTATGAAGAATACGGATATTATTATGTGCATACACTTGTATCGCATAATCTTTAACAATACAGTCGACGCTCACAAATTAGAACCACTTTGTTTTTAAGGTGATTAAAATTTCTGAAAAATTCTTATATCGAAGTTTTTTTAGTTGTATAGGTATAAGCACAAAAATTGGTTAAATTTACTTCACAAATTAACAATGAAATTCTTCTTAAAAACCAGAAAACCAAAATTTATGCGACTCAATTGCCAATTTCACCACTAATATTCACTTAACATATATGTACATAGGTAGTTATATTTGTTAGTTTTTCTTTAGGTTTTTTTGTTTTTTTAATCTGAAACAACAATATCGGCGAGCCAGAAGATTGCTTACGTGCTTAGCAGAAAACAATTCATATTTCGATTCTAATTTCAACACGTTTAATGTTAGACTAACTCTGATTTTTATTTTTGGAAATTCTAATTACTGAAGATTCTATCTTGTGAGCGTCGACTGTTTTAAGTATATGCCGCAACTAGATAGCAATGCCGAATAATGTTGATAAACTAACAACACGCGGGGAGGTGTCGATTGATAAGAGCTATATATGTACGGATAAATTTATTTAATATGTTTATAATTTTTAAAACTAACGTACATATATTCAGTAATACTTGCGAATCATTGCTATGCAATTATTGTCAATAATTGTTATTTTTGTCAATAATTTTTGCACATTTTCATAACAAGGTTTTCTTAAATTTTTGTGTCTGAAACTCTAGGTATATGTATGTCATTTGTTTGAGGAAATCCAAAAAATAGGAATGTTCTTGAAATCTTTTCGCCTTACTTTATTTAAAAAAAATACAAATCATTTCGAAATAATCGTCATTGAAATCTTTGCAAATTATATCAATTATCAGTTTTTATGCGTTACATAAAAATACATTTTGACAAGTGTTATAGAGCAGTAAGTCTTTATTATCTATTTTGCAGTAAGTCTTTATTATCTATTTTGTGTGAGTTTTTGCAGTAAAATTTGTTAGCTTGTGAAAATTGTTTCGTTATTATACTAAGCAACATACATATATACACGTAACAAATTTGCACTTTACACTTTTATATATACATACATATACAATATGTATGTAAATACAATATGTATCCATGTACGCATAAATATTGTAGATTATTGTTAAAAATCATCTAAAATATTTCAAATTATTTGTCAATTATTATATATTTGCCTGGATTTTACATAGAGTCCTAAAGGAGAAGTTGAGCAAGCTGTTAAAGATGCTATTGACGTTGGTTATCGCCACATCGATTGTGCACATGTGTATCAAAATGAAGATGAAGTCGGAGCGGGCATTGAAGCTAAAATAACTGAAGGTGTTGTGAAACGGTGGGAGTATTTTTTTTTATTTTTATAAAATTTGCGTATAATTTTTAATAATTGTTCTATATTACAGTGAGGAATTGTTTATTACCAGCAAATTATGGAATACTTTCCATAGTCCAGAATTAGTACGCGGAGCTTTAGAAACTACTTTAAAGAATTTACGCTTGGATTACCTCGACTTGTACTTGATTCATTGGCCAATGGGCTATAAAGAGGGCGGAGCATTGTTTCCAAATGATGATCTTGGCAAAGTGCAATATTCGGATGTCGATTATGTAGACACATGGAAGGCAATGGAAAAACTTGTAGAAGCTGGTCTTGTTAAGTCCATTGGTATATCTAATTTCAACAAACGTCAAGTTGAACGTGTGCTCGAGGTTGCAACTATTGCTCCCGTTACAAACCAAATTGAATGTCATCCTTATTTGACACAAGAAAAGCTTATTGAATTTTGTAAATCAAAGAACATTGCTATAACTGCATACAGTCCTTTAGGCTCACCCAACAGGCCATGGGCGAAACCAGAAGATCCCGTTTTGTTAGAGGACACTAAAGTAAGTGTTTATTTCAAATTTTGTAAGTATAATTTATATTCATATATATATGTATATAACTATTTCAGATTGTTGGTATCGCTGATAAGTATGGCAAAACTCCGGCTCAAATTCTCATTCGCTATCAACTGCAACGTGGAAACATTGTAATTCCAAAGTCTGTAAATAAAAATCGTATTGCATCTAACTTCGATGTATTCAATTTTGAATTGACCGCAGATGATATTGCTACAATTAATAGCTTTAATTGTAACGGGCGTTTCGTACCTCTGGATAAGTAAGTGGTTAATGTAAAATATAACCATATTTGGCATTATAATTATTGAATAACGGTTTATTTCCTATATCAATTTTACAAACAGCGATGCTGACCATGAACTCTACCCGTTTAATGATGAATTTTAATTTCGTAAAATTTAAAACAAGTGAAAATTTAGTAATTTGTACAAAATGTACGTCTGTCTTCATTACTATGATGTGTTATTTCACTTAAAATTCGTTTTGACTCTTAAAAATATTCAATATCTTAGCAGTAAGTTCAATGCATAGATAAACTTGAATTATTTGGTATTAATGCTTGACTCGCCATTTATATGTAACTGCTTAATATTTCTGCATTTACCCAAGATTTTAAAATAGTATATTCCGTTTCTGTTGCACTAATTTCCCCATCTGCTTGGTTTAACAACTTTTAGATAACATTGTGACTAATATTTTAATTCAAAGATATTCTTATTTAATCATATTTTTATTTTCAGCCATCGATCACATCCGTACCATCCATTTTCTGATGAGTTCTAGTGTGTAAAACTTAATCCAGTTAAAATTTGGGTTATGTAACTGTTATCATTCACACATATATAAATACATATGTATATATAAATGTATTTAAAGTCACGGTATATTAAATAAATAAACACATGAATTTACCAACTTTGTACTTAATTTCCAACATTAGACTTTTTAAACACAAAACACATACATCTGGAAGTTACTAGTACAGAAAGTACTACAAACGTTAAACGTGTTGAGCTTGCCTAGATTTATTTGTATGGCTTCTTTTCCTTTCCGATTACCTTTTTTTATATTCGATATGTTTCACATACAAAAAAATCTAACAATAAGTATAAATTATATTATTTTTCATATATATGTATTAGAAAAGTATAGTGAATACACGAACATGATGTTATTGGTATTAGTTTCAGAATAATAAATTATTACTGTTGTTCGTTTCAATTAAAAGCACTGATTTCGAATGGTGCTAGAAATTTAAATTTTAGCGTATATTAAATAATAGCTCCACCATATCTATGCACCAACCGATCCCAGTTCTTTCAACTTGAATTTTTTTGCACAGTATTGTAATACACCTGGTATCCTTGCTAATTTTCATTTATTAAAAGTGCAAATTTGTTTAATTCCCGGTATTTGCCTTCCTGCGAGTGTGATTGTACTATGTCAACTGCTGGGAGAAGGTTTAAAGTCTGAGTTTAAATGTGTAAAACCAGTTACAGATGAGATGCGGTCAACAATGGCATATGTAGGAAAACGAATCAAGTACGTTCATCGCATTTTATGCATATTCAGTTACTCTAAGTCTTAACAATTTGCATCTTAACTATTTAATTTATAAACACATGCAAGTGGGTGCATATGTACATGCATGTGAAGTTAACCTCATTATAACATATTGCGTACTTACATTTCCTTTACTACCTTTACTATCTATACATATGTATGTATATATAAACGTATATCCTTGAATGCACATGTAGTATGTGTTAAATGTAACTAATACCTAGCTGTTACTTACGACTGTTCCACTTCTTTTATGTGATTTTTTCACTTCACCGTCAATCGGCAGACAAAGTACAAAAAGAGTAGATTTTGCTGAAGAATATACCTTTTAAAACTGGTTACACAATTGTAATTTGTCTATTCGCCTAAGTTTTCCCGCTGCATGTAATTTAAATCAAGCGTGATCCTCATGCATTAGAATACTTTCATATCAAATTTCACATTTGTCTTTTTATGGTAAAAGTGATGAGCATTGCGAAAGAAAAAAACATCTTCAGTTGCGATCGTATGACTATTACTCAGAGAAAATGCAATATGAAATAAATGTACAATATTTAATTAGTAGCGGAACTTCGGTTGTTATAATACCGGCGTCTAATATAGTAAACTCTCCTTTCTCTGAAACTATAATATTTACACTTAGTAACACTATAAAATATATTTTTGCAGTTGTTGAATTTGTTTTTTTTTTTTTTAAAGTACCCTAATCCAAATAATTTAGCACGTCGCAAATTGATCAATAATAATATTATAACTTCATTTCCGAAAGATGAGTTGCGGAGAATAAAATTACGGCTAATTTAGAGCTTTACAATCATGCCAACAAATACTGGCCACTTTCTTGTAAAATTGATGATTAAGATGATGAACAATTTATGCGGTTTGATGATTATTTAACCTTACAAATAGAAACTTAAATAAAAAATAACAATATTATCAGACTATTTTAAATAACGGCAAACGCTTTTGCTTTGTTCTTCTATATTTGTATGTTATTACATGCGTATATGTACATATCTAGGTACATACAGTGGCGCGCAAAACCGTGCGCATGTCAAATTTCTAGTCAGTTAAAGTTAGCTTTCAGCACTGTTGTGGCTATAGGAAAACGACGCAATGTAGTTGATTCCCCAAACGTGGAAGGAGGCGCACAATTGTGAACAAACGCTGATGCTAGGCGAATAGTGAGTAGAACCCACAAAAGCGGTTAATAGAACACCGTTGGAGGCTACAATCGCTATAAATAAAACTATCAGCGAATGGACCGCTCGGGGAGCTCTTCAAATTATTGATTCTGTGGCCGCCGTTAAACAGAAGAAAACTGCTGTATCTGATCAAAAAATTATCAAAGCGCGTCTAAAGATTCATAAGGAACATAAAAATTGGTACGCAGAAGACTGGCAAAAGGTTATCTGATGGGATGTAACGACAATCAAATGTTTCCAATCGGATAGTAGACAGTACTACTGGCGTCGTCCACATGAAAACCTTCAACGACATCATGTGCGGCAGACTGTAAAATATGGTATGGGTGAGCAGTCTCATGGTATCGGTGTGCTTCACTTTATGGAACATTGGGCCGTTAGTCAAAATCGCTGGAAGTATGAAAAAAGAAGACATTTTACAGTCAAATTTATCGAATTTAATGGACAAGTGTGCCTATGCAGATTAAGATATCGTTTTTCAACAGAATAATCATCCGAAACACACAACCAAAATTGTTAATCACTGGCTAAAATGTCAACGGTAACAGTTCAACCAAAGGTCAGCACAAAGTCTCGACCTTAACCCAATTGAGGTTAGAATTTGAGGGCTATTGTAAAGAGACGATTATGCAATTACCGAACAGCGCCGAGCAATACAAATCGACAGGAGAAGCATAACGAAGGAAATAATAGAAAATTTAGTTGAAAGTATGCCTAGAATTCTAGAAAATATAATTAAAAATAAAGATATTTTTATCAAATATTAAATAATGTAATTATAAGCCATTTACTTGTTACGAGCAAAACTGTACATAATGCATTTATTTCAGTTTTTGTTGTATTTCCCTTTTGTCTTTTAGAATAAAATTTTGATTAAATTATTACTTTATTGCACAATAAATTAATAAACCTATCCTGATACATACCTATGTGATAATATTATATCAAATGTTATAATATTTGAGCTGTCGTAAAAAATTTTACAGCACTTAGAATGCAAAAGTGACGAACATCCGAACGCTTTTGCTCGCCGCTGTATATTGTAAGTGGATGAGTCGTTTGTTTCAACAAGTAAGTCGAATTAGAGATAAGCTTTCAAGAAAGCGTTAGTTACACCATCGAATTCTGATGCAGCTCTCTGTACTTACTGTACAGTTAAAGTAAAAATTAATGCTTCTGCAATGTGACAGCTTGACATGTATGTATGTATATATGTAAGTATATAATGAACAAACAATATTTGCAAGTTCATATATTAACAATAAACATATAAATTTACCGAGCTCACAAGGATGGGTCGATAAGTGTACTGATATGCACGCACATATATGTAAATATATATGTATTTAAATACAAATTGACTTTTAAATACGTATGCCTGGATATCCATGCGACAACATTTAGTGGCACTTGCTGGTTTCTGTAGAATAAGTGTTCACATACAAGTATATTCTGGTACTAACGGCAGGATAAAAGTTAGATGTTAAGGACAACATTGTGTGGAAGATATGTTGTAAACTATGTACCGGATAGAAAGATGAGTTGTTGTGTCGCTGTTGACACAAGCTTCAAGTATCTGCATCTGTATCATCTCTACGAGTATTCTATAAAGGTATACTGCGGCAACAGTTGCCATTTTTAACAGTCCTGCAGTAGTTGAAGTATAAATTGATAAACAAGTTTACTGAGCATTTCAGTTTATTCAATCGTCTGTACTCATACAAACGACGTTCGGTGTTGCATTCATGTAATTAAATTTGGTAATCTAGGTACCAACGATTAGTTAAAGATTAAATCATAATGATTTTGGTGGGAAATAAATGCGATGATAAAAATTTCTTGTGTAAGTAACATTATAGTGAGTGAAAAAGCATATATTATGAGTGTGTGTTAGTAAGAATATTGTGAAAATTGTTATGCGAAGTATATACATATGCATGTATTTACATATGAATAAAATGTAGGCATACATAAGTGGGTTGAGTAGAATAAAAATTGTTATTTTACGCAGATACACATGTATGTATGTACGTAAAAATAAGTACTTAAAATATAAAAATTTTGATCAACAATTCTGTTCATATGCAGAAGCTATTGGCCTTGTTCAAGCAGTTAAAGTGTGAAAGTGTTACGGCGCTGATAAATGTCCTCTGGTGAGTGGAATTTGCGTGCTCTTAAAGCACTTGAAGAAGAGGAAGAGAAAGAATTTCTTGCGCTAAGTCAAAAAAGTCTCTTCGAATCAGTATGTTTGCCGACGGAAGCAGAATTGCTGAAACAGAGCGTAGACCTTAGCCACAGTAATTTTCAACCGAAGCTATCGTATGCTCAACTGCATCCGCATCTATTAAACTTGCCCACCACTAACGAATGCAATCTCATTGCAGCGGCTCGAAGACGACGATTTCGGTTGCTGCAACAAAGAACATCAGGTAGTAGCGAAGGAGAACGACAATTGCAAATTACTCGTGTATTATCTCTCTCAGCGCATTCCTTAACAGAACGCAGCAATCGAAATCAGAAAAATGTTGCCTTATCAGAAACTAAGGATAAATTGTCTCGAATTAGTAGGTCAACTCAGTTCTATAATGTGCCACCATTCTACACACCACCCTCCATAAAACGATGCATGACTTCACACCGCAAGTCCTTCAAGTCGTTGCAGCACTTGGAGAAACAAAAATCGGTTCATAAAAATGATGCATCAGATATACTGAAGAGAAAAGTTGGCACAAATAAAGCTTACTCCAAATATGTTGCCAACTCTACAGCTGGCTCAGTTACTGAACCGCGCAAGAAGTTGCATAGCTCCTTGGTAGAAATTGAATCGTACACTTCCGATGAGAACGATTCAGAGGAGAATGCTAATAACATTGATCAAACAGATCACTGGATGAAATCATATGAAGATTGTGACGACAGTGCCACTGAGACGGGTTCGTGCTCGGTGCCTTTGGCTACGGATTCAGTTGAAGCGATTCGCCTTATGTTATCAGCCGCAACTGCAGCTATCACTTATACCTCCAAGTCTGCTAACACCCCAGTTACTGCCTCACCGCTAACCACAGTTAAATTAGACGGCAATAACACCGCTCCACAAACTAACCACAGCAATAATCTCCTTACATTGCCATCACCGTATCTCTTAAAATCATCGCCATTACACGAATCCACACATAATGGTGTACGAAACGAAACTAAAGACAAACATCAATGCAGCTTAACAGAGGAAAGCTATGTTAATAATGTTGCTAGTAAATGCAACAATAAGAAGAGTAGACAGCCTTTGGTTGCTGCCCGTTATTTAAATAGTTGTCAGAAGACCAACTTGTTGGATGTGAGCATGGAATTTAATGGATGTTTGCAGGATAAGAAAGAGGATCACACGTTACAGAAATGTAACTTAAACACAAGTTCGATTGCTCCGAATATTGAATTGACCAAACCAGCAATAAAAAATGGTTTAGATATTTTATCTAACTTCTCTTGTAACAAAACGGTATGGATGAAATCAAAGCCGATTGTTACAAATAAACCAAACAATCATATCCAGAACTTACTTTTACATGCCACCCATGGAGAGAATCTCCATCGTTCATTAATACGCTGCAAAGAAGTCGTTAAAGAAGAATCCCTAAAGAATGGTAGTAATTGCAAGCACCCACTATCTTTGGGAATTTCACCGATAACTGAAAGACCAAATTGGACTTCTTTTGCACAGTTGCAACAAACATTCATCGATGATGACCTTGAACAACATATCAAACAATGCTCATGTTCATGCAATCATATGGGTTATGGAAATTCTATGGATTATCAGGTAATTTTTACTTAATTATTATACATTTTATTTACAATTTAGCCGATTTAAATGCTAGAAAACACGAACTCAAAGAGTGAATGAGACAGTAAATACATAAAATTATGTCAACCAATTAAAAAAAAAACAAGAAAAAAACGTTAACTTTCCATACAAGAAATTGTTTTTGATCGGTCAGTTTGTATTCCAATATGTTGTCTGAAGATATAGTGTTTTCAATATTTGATTTTATGGAGCCGAAATATGAAAACTCTCTACATTTAATTGTTTTCTTTTATAAAGTCAGATATTATTATAGAATTAGTAATTATTTTAGAGTGAAGACCAATTAAACCACTACTCCATAATAAAGAGGGCGGATCTTTAGTTTATCGAAATACATTTTTCTGCAAGCTAAACTCCATTTTTAAATGTGTCGTCGCTTTTTTGAGAATTGCACTAGCTAATGTTACTTCAACACTATATTTTTAGTAACTAGTAAACGAAAAAATGGTATACTAGTTTTATAGGTATCACGCCTATATTTATTATAATCATAATTTTTCTTTATGAAAACTGGTTTAGTTTCATTCTCCAATGTATTTATCGAATTTTTGGATTATCGAATATTGGCAGCAATCGCTATGTGGTATAGTTTACAATTAAACGAGAACAGCTAAGTGCTCTTGCGCTGATATTGGACCTTCTATGATCGCTAAGCTATGAGATCAAACCTATGAGAGAGGTGTTGTAGCTAGCGTCTATATGGTAAATATTTTTTTGAGCATATGGTATAACGTTAGGTGACCATATTTGTCCCGGCAAAATCCGGAACGGTTTTTTTTTAGTCATCGATTTTTTCCATATTATCATTCACTGAAGATCACGACATATAATAGGTGAGAGAGCAACACAATTTTATTAAATTTATTCTTTTTTTGATTAATTTCTAAGGCCGGGTTGCTTAACTCAGAATACGGACTGTCCCGGCCAAACCGGTACGAATTTCTTTTATATCGCTCAACGAGGCCTGCACCTGAAATGTAGGATTCATAGATACGTTGTTTAGATAATAATCTTTCACTACTTAAACAATATTTGTGATTAGATAATCAAAGGAAGTGTTTAAAGCCTATTTGTGCTTCGAAGTTATAATCTCTACAACACTCAAAGGAGTCATTTAATTTGAGTCCCAATCACGAATTCTAGTAAATAGGACCAGTAATCGCAGTCGTTGTATTGAACTCATTTTGGCTTTACATGAATATTTCGGTTTTTTAGCGGTTACAGATACAGTTGCTATGAGGACGGGTGCATAACCGACGGTGGTGCTCTAAGAATGCTCTTTGCCCAAGGTTACTCATATAGATATGTAAATATTGTTTTACAGCACATTTTAGGTAAAAACAAACATCGAACATTTTTATATATTTCTATCAAATAATATTTTATTTATCCTCTAAATGGGAAATCATCTACCATATAACAACATAACTATTAGTAAAGGTGAAGGACAAATTAGTATTTATGAGCAATACAAGTATCTGTGTATGACTAGGAATACACGTCTAAATATTAAATAAACCAAGGCACAACAGTTGGTTGAGTATCGAAACTGTGGGTTGAAATTCCACTCTCTTGTATAAATGGTGTGTGTCGTTTGAGACGTATTTAGTATGTATATTTTTCTTGTGCTACATTTAAATATAATACATTGACGATATGGGTGTAGAGAACTACTTGTAATTTCAGTGCAGTGGAATTTGGTAAAATATGATATTTTTTGGGATATCAATAATGTTGACGAAATTTTTTGGGTAAAATAAAATTATAGTTAGTAGTAATTTAAAAAAAAAATGAATGATTGCTTCAACAGCGTTATTTGTAGAGGCGGTTAAGAATATCTTAAATTTGCATAATGCGCAGTCGCGAATTTTAACCCTTAACTATACTGAATGCCAATGGTAAAAGTTGGACCGGCAAAATAAGGCTTGGCTGCAAATTACTTGAAAAACTAGCGGAAATTATTGTAGAGAAGTTCAGTAAATTTGTGGATACTGTACAGTGGCATCTCCAAGCAACTAGGCGAGAGCATGAAATCCAGCTGATGATAGCTCAGTTTCTATTCGGCCGTTATAAAGTAAAGTTGCTATCGAGCAGCATGTCTATGAGTGGCCATGAAGAGAAGTGCCATTGGAAGATATACTTCCATATATATTAATTGTGCAAAAAAGTTATAAGACGTGATAAGAACAAACGAAATTGGTGCAATAACATGTAGTGAAATTTTTTATTTCAATGTAATAAAATTTTAAAATTCTATTTTCGCTTCAAAACCATAATAAAAAGAGTCATGGAATTGCGACAATTGGGTTATAATGAAATGTGCCAAATGGAGCTACTGCAAAGATCCACTTTAAGTGGTAACAGTAGAAACCCAGTTTTACCCATTGTGATGATACAACCTTCAATTGTAACACCAAGCAGTACTATATTGACAACTCCTCCGAATAATGATCACAAAGAAGTGATGGATAATGAAAATATCTACCAATTTCAGCCATCGAATATATTCGTTTCCAACGCTACCACTTCAGATCAAATTGTTCAACATGAACGGCACATTCCTGGTTTTCTCAGTGGCGGTAAAAAACTTTTACAGTCAGAGACGATTTTGCTTCCGACCATCGAACAGCATCAACAGCAGTTTCCGAATGATTCTTTTATGCAACAGCTTCCACAGGCACATAAACGAATTCCACAAATACAGATTCAGCATACATTACCCGCACCTCTCAATATAATTTACACGGGCACACTAAATACAACATCTCGCATAAGAGATTTACCTGAAAGTGCTAACCTATCTCGAGACTTCAGCGATGCCACCGCCAACAACAATATAATTGGTGTCGCTGACAACGCTATTGGTGATGATAGCGATTTCGAGGGCAGCGAATGCGGCACGAGCGTCTCTGGGGCCACATGTATACCTCATTTTAATTTTGGTGGTTGTGGTATGATTCTTCAACCTACATTAACTACTAATAATTGTGGAGTTAATGGTCATCGTCCACATCCATATCATCAACGTCGACCTAAGGCACCAGAAGATGTGGGATGCGCGGCATTTTCTCACATGATGGGCACATTCGCGTCAGCAGCAGGCGGGGCAATGAACTCGTCTCGATTCACGGACACTCTCGGTTCTCTTGCTGGAGTAAGTACCGGACGTTCGAGCACATTAGGTCGTAATCGACGTACGCCCACCTGTCTCACGGGGTCAACCCATCAAAACCAAAAACGTGTATCATTTAAAGAAGATGACTTATCAAAAAATAGCGCGAAGCAGTTGGAGAAAAATCAAAGCAATTGCGATTATTACAGTCATGGTGACAATGATGCACTGCATAATTGCTCTTATATGTATCTAAAAAATATTACTGACTGCCAGGTGCGTATTTATTTGCAGTAAAACATTAATTAGCTAACTGCCTTTAAAGAGACTTTAGTATATAAGTTGTTACGTTTTGAACGTAGATTAATATGTGACTACATACTTGTATATTATATTATATTATATCTGCGTCAACCAAATCCAACTGATACCATATTGATAGAAAATCTAACATGCAATTAAATATCAAAACTGACAGTCAGCTAACTAAACAAAGCTAAGAGGTTTGGAATGACTTTAATCCTTTATTCTTATGTTTTTTACACAAGTGTACCGTTTATTAAATTAAAAAATACGTCTCACGTTTTATCCGGGGTAAACTGCTAAACTACTGAACTGATTTTAGTCAAATTTAGCAAACTGTGTTCAGTTTCCTCCAAATTGAAAGATAGGGTAGTTTATTTTTGAGGGGTATTAGCATATTCTAAATTAAATTGAAAATAATTTGAAATCAAATATCATAAATAGCAGAAACAACTTTTTATTTATTCTGCACGCGACCTATATTATGTTGAACCAAGAAAAAAAATGTATATACATCGACTTTATTTTTTCACATTTAGACCATTGGCTTTGGTGGCCTACCTGATGTCACCGAGCACTCCAATACCCGTCACACACATTCCCGCCAAAACTCCATTTCGAACAGTGATTCAGGTGGCGAAATTGCCAATGTGGATAAATCGAAAGTGAACTTGTGTGTTGGCAAATCGCCACCAACAAGCCAAACTACCCACGTCGAGCGTAAATCAAAAATAACCCACCATACAGCTGCTGCTAGATGCAGCAGGGCACATCGCCTCAAACCGCGACGTGGCTCTTGTGCCATATTCTTGACTTTTGTTGGCACGATATGCTTGCTTACAATCGGCGCATTGCTTGCATACCAACACTTTATGGCGCCCAGCCGCAATTCGCATGCCCAAAGACTGAAAATAGTGCGACGGATACTAAAAGAAGTGCCACTGGTGGATGGCCACAATAATTTCGCGTGGAATGTGCGGAAATACTCGCACAATAGCTTAGAGTTGATAAACATGAGACGCGATTCTAATGCTGAAGCATGGACGCGACCGACGTGGGCGCAAACGGATGTTGAAAGGCTTAAGCAAGGACTAGTCGGTGTACAAATGTGGTAAGTAAAACTGTATTGTTTGCATATTCTAATAATACCTACTCGTATTGTTAAGCATTGTAAAAAATAATAGACCATTTGACTATTTGTTGCAATTTTATATATAAGTCTGTATACCATAAGAGGTTAGACGCCAAAAAAATATTCTAAGCTTAGTGTAGAGAAAATTTTTAACTGACATCTTACCAAAATATTCAAATCCTTCTGACCATTTATATATATATATTTTCTATACAACAATTTAGAACTTTTACATGCGTTTAGCGAAATTGTATTACGATCAACTGAATTTGTGAACTAAGCATATTTATATATATAAGTACATATATATGTAAATATGTATTATTGAATATCGAATAGAATAAAACACCATCCCTAAGTAAAAAATAAGCATATACAATATATACCTTCGGGTGTCTGCTATTACCCAAGTAATTTTTTTTCTAACGCCCCCTGTAGCTCCAGCTTTTGCCATAAAAATTTATCTAACATAAACAAGCTTCTCATTTTTAATTTAAACCGTGCCAAAGTCATTCTACTTTTATCATGTACATAACATATATGTATAACATTGGGTTTTTGAATAATTTGGATTATATTTTAAACCCAAAGCAAATATACCTACAACTTTGAAAAAAAAATTTTAATACAAAGTGTTGGACTCTATAAAAAAGGAATCCATGTTTGTTTGCCATAAAAACATTTCTTTAAACGTTGTATGCAGTTAGTGCCGTTTCTCAATGTCTGCTTAATATTATCCTTAACCGCTGGTAGCTTAACTGGATGATACCTTTAACAGGAAGAAGGAGAACCGTTTTCCCCAAGTTGTGGTTAACTGACCTATAGAAAGCTCGATTACTGTGAATGCGTGGCGAAAACATTTCACAAAATTTGCATTGCGAACACGCAAAACTGTGTAAACGTCATGAGCCATCTATGTGCATGTTCAGACGTGGATTCTTTTTGCAACCCAAAGTGGTTTTCGTAAGCGAGGCGACGATGAGGAAATACGAAGTGGTGGCACGCTTTGTGTTATTTTCCGTAACAGCCCGCTGCTATACAATTCGGCATTCCTTTTCATTTCAAATTCCTTTCATAGTTGCAACAGCGCTCGGTTTCAAAGTAATATTTTTTATACAAACTAACCAAGGCTTCTTCTCTCAGTAAAGTTTGCCAGAACTTAACTGACAGATAGTTGCTAACCAGATATTAAGAAAACCATTTTTCAACATGTTGTCAATAAAGTTCCGGTTAACCAGACATTGAGCACTTAGAGTTATACATCAAAGGTACTGAGCATTCATACAGTATTCCATGTCGTATGAGCAACAAGAATTTATAAGGCACTTCTAGGTTTATTTGCTTTGGAGATAAAAAACTTAATACAAAAGTTTAAAAATTTCCATATATATAATATGAATTAAGATGTTTTAGCACAGTTTAAATTGAAAAAGAGCTCGGATAATTTTTTTAGGGCAAAAAATGAAAGTTCAAGCTGCGTCACAGTCGCAGTCAGCCTAATATAAGCTGTCTTCGATTCGCCAATTCTCTACTCGCTTCTGCTCTCTTGTCAAAAAAATTACATTTATTGTAAAAGCAAAAAAAGTCCGAGCAGCTCGAGAGTAACGCTTGGTGAATCGAAGATAGCTACACATATGTATGACGAAAAGTATGTGAAGTTATCATTTTACTTTCTGATCAGCAATCTATATATTCGGGACAAATAACATAACACAAATGAAGTAGTTAGGCTATTACAGCTTTATAGGATTTGTGAAGAAAGTTCGCAAAATTTTTAAAGCATTGCAAAAAACACATAGCAGATACCATATTAGCTTTCTTCATCTCATGCACTTGTTCTTCAGGTCAGCATATGTTCCATGTGATGCATTGGGACTGGACGCCGTCCAAGTAGCAATTGAACAAATTGATATTATCCGTCGCCTGACTGACATGTATGCCCTGGATACAATGTTAGCAAAATCTTCCAAAGACATTTTTACAGCACGACAGCATCACCAGATGGCTTCGTTAATTGGCATCAAAGGTGGCCATGCCATTGGCTCCTCTCTTGCCGTTTTAAGATCATTCTATTCAGTCGGCGCACGTGCCCTTAGCCTTACGCATAAATGTGATCTCTCATGGGCAGGATCAAGTGCCTCAGAAACAGAAAATGGTTTATCCGCATTTGGCAAGGTAGTCATACGTGAAATGAACCGCTTGGGAATGATGGTAGATTTATCTTATAGTTCTACTGCGACAGCGCGTGACGTCTTGCAAGTCACTCGAGCCCCTGTTATATTCTCTCACTCCGCTGCACGACAAATATGCAACTCCACACACAATGTACCCGACGACATTCTTCGACTAGTGGCAGATAACGGTGGGCTGATTATGGTTAGCTTCGACCCAGAAGACGTGACTTGCGGTCAACCGGCATATCTTGCAGATGTTGTAAAACATATTAAACACATTCGCGCAATAGCTGGTGTGCAGCATATTGGGCTAGGCGCAGGATATGATGGCATAGAGGAACCACCTATAGGCCTTGAAGACGTATCCAAATATCCAGATTTGCTGGCGACACTGCTTCAAGATCACAATTGGAGTGAGCAAGACATTGCAATGTTAGCCGGAAAAAACTTTCTTCGCATCTTAGAGACTGTGGAAAATGTACGAGACTATTGGAAACGTGCTGACATTCAACCGCTCGAACAGACTGAACCACAACCGAAACCACAGTGCTCATACATGTCTTCGTGACCATAGCAGCAGACAATGAGCAAACCTTGTGCTGTTGTGCACAAATTTTACCTTTATGGGGGCAATTGCATTGTGCATATAATAGAAGGTATACGTTGCCAGATAAATACTGGGGACTTGAGCATAATACAATTGATATATTAGGTTATTTATACAATTAAATTACTCGTATTTGTATATATGTATGTTAATTAATGGAACATTAGCTGCGCATATATGCATGCTTGTACAGCAATAAACAGTTATTTAAAACTGTGCAAATGGGAGGATTGTATTTAAGAAAATATTTGTTGTGAAAATGGAGTCTGTCAAGGAAATAACATAATAGACAACATAGATGAAAATAAATAAGAATAATTATATGGGGTTGAAGAGTGAATTAATAAGATTATAACCAAGCACAACTTACAAGCATATCTCTTCAAATAATTTCTAATTGGTGTACATTTAGTTGTTGTGTTGTTGTTTTTTTTCTGTTTTTAGGAAAGAATGTCGGAATGTTCGAGAGACTAAAAATAATTTTGGAATATATGAGACTATGAAAATTAACAATTTCAAACTTAGATACACTAAAGCACGCATTTATACTCTACCTAACTAAAATATTTATATGTATTGTAGTAAAATATATAATTTAAATTTTCTACATAAGCACAGGTAAATGAGTGTGCCAATATTTGCATATGAAGTTTGTTAGGGGCTATTGGGAATGCCAGTTTTAATATTAATTTTATTGTTACTAAGACAATCCTTGCCACAATTAGATAATATAAAGATCTGAAAAATAAAAGCATATACATACATAATTCTGGAAATCATTTCCAAATACAACACACGTACATACAGTCTTAATATAAAAGTTATGTGGTGTTCTAACAAAAAATAACAAATGTTTATTATTAATGAATTATTTTGGAGTGGTTTGAATAACTTATGCTCATCTACTTGCATTATTACTTATTTGTAATATAATGGTTATCGTATGTGTAGAGAAAAAAACCAATAGTGAAATTAATTGTATTCGGTTACAAATATTATAACTAGACACAAACAAAAGTATGTTAAAAAATATCGATATAACCAAACACTTAATTACATCGAAAAGGTTTTAAATATATACAAAAGAGTAAAAAATATATGATATACTACAAGTTGCTCAAACAGACATCAAACAATTGCTATAATTGTTTTGGATCAAAAATTCAAGCAACGAAAAATACTGCAATGTATATATGTTTGATAAACACATATTCATCAAAGCAAGGAATCCATCAAAAATGGTTTTTATTTAAATGAAATGTTCATTCATCCGTTTGTCAACTCATTTTCACTCCAACACATTTACATTTAAATGAAAGAAAAATGCAATAAAATATAAGTGAACATGAAATAAATATAAACCTTGTTTCTAGTTTTTATTTCAAAAAAAAGCGATAACGAATAATATTTTATGTGTAAAGACGCGTAAGTATATACCATAAGCATATAAAGTAATAATTAATTTAATTCTAGCATTGCCATCGAATATTTGACATTTTTAATGCTAAACGTACTCAGTAAGTTTATGCATAAAAGTGTTAACAGCACTGTTTAAACATTCCAGATATACCCTTCTATATTGTTGCATTTTGCTGGCAAAGCACCTTCTCAAACCGTACAGTATTGCAATGGTTTGTTAAATTAAGATTGTTTTACGCGCAATATATTATACAATGAGTACGTGGCATGTCTGGAAATCAGTTTCACTCGTATAGATTCAATATTGCTTTAACGTCAAGAATATTTGTTCGTGTAACAAACAAAAATCAACACGCTTGACTAATTGACTATTCGTACGAATTTGTAAGATATGTCAGCTAATTTACACTTAAAATAATAATAATAACATAGGGCTTAAACATTTTTCAGATGTTTAACTGAACCCTACAATTCAGCAGTTGTGTTCACTTTGTTTCATTAAAATATTTTGATTTAAAGCTTAAATAATTGTTTTGAAGTCAACTTATATATTATATTATTTTATCCTAATTCAAAATAAAAAAATAAATATTGTATTACGATTTGGCGATGCGACGATTTTCAGTGCCAAACCACATTATGCCATTAAATCACACCGTGCTTGAGAAGACATCTCCATATTATTTTATTAAACTTTTTCACATACTGATCGATATTACAATAAAAGATCAACCAGAAAATCGAAAATTCTTACATTGCGCGTCATATGGCTGCGATTATTATCTGATTTTGCTTACTTTCAAACTGTATCAAGAAATGCTAGGAAGAAATGTAGGTAGTGATTTTGGTTAATATAGCGGTAGTAGTTTGTGAGATTTGTACATTAAACTTAGTAAAGGCTGAATCTGCGCTTTACTAAGTTAAATGTCCACTTTTCAACAATTTTTAGTATGATTTGTGACTTACTTAAAACACCTTACACAATCGTACGTAACATAATTTGTCCTATTACGCACAGTTTTCTTCCCTTCCCATTATACATACACATACATAACCAGAGAGGTAGCTATTGTAGAAAAACAGGCAATTTTTTTTTTTATCTTTTTGTATCACCTTGCTACTGAACATTTATTTAAAAACTTTTATTTAGAAGTTCCGCGGCATGCAACTCCGCAGATGTAATAGTGTGGTGGATATAGCGCGCACATTAGGTTTTCCTTGCAACGGAATGCACTCAAATGAGTCCCAAGAGGAGAAAAACTACAAGTAGACCACGAATTCGCGGTAGAAAATGTAAATGCAAAAACATTAGGGAACTGATAAAATATAATTTAGTAATGAGTTAAAAGCTCTGAAAGGAGACCAAACTAAAATTAAATATTTTTACACTACTTTGTTAAGAATGTGTTACTTAACAATAAATAAAATATAAATATAAAATTATTAAAATTGATAGTCATGACATTCATATGAGATAGGTATAAAGTTATACATACATAAATAAATACATGAATGTCTAACCGACAGTCAAACTGTATGTACAAGCGGTACTTAAGTAAAAATTGAGATATCTTAATGACATTGTGCTTGGCACACACATATATATTTTCATATGTTCATAGTCCAGTTCCCAAAGTATTATCTTTCCTTTTCGAGCGCATTATGTTCAGTTAAACCCGAACTTAGCCTCTATTCACTTGATTTACTTTAAATATTTAAGAATTCATCGCCTTATTTAAAACAGATTTTCTCCGTCGTTATGGTTCTACTATTTATGATGTTTACATATTGATTGACCTTTATGATGCTCGTCGTTTATACCTATTGCGTTACTATTGCTTTCAATTCTTGACATGTGTTATTATGGCATATCTGGCGTCAGCGTTTTAAATGCGAAATGAAAAGGAAACGTATTCCCGTTCGCTATAAATGACATAGTACATACATATGTTAACACAAATGACAGCTATGCACACAGTAGTACTTTACTTAAAAAAAAAATGAATTCCAACGTCTCTGCTGCTGTACATGCGAACTTCCTACTCACAGATGAGGATACTGATGGATATTAGAACTGCTGTCAACTCATACAAGTAAGTTTTCACGTGCTTTCGTGAGCTCATTATCACGACACAAGTGTCACCTTCGCCGCACAATAAAGGCAAAACTAAGCACATAACCATCCATGTTTGTATGTGTGTTATCTAATACATACATAAATATAAATACACATGATATATTGCATTGATTTGATTTGAGAATATCATAGACCAGCTAAGCCCATGCCTTAGGCTTGCGAGCGAATCCAGCCTCTCTGCTTTCACATATATTCGTACACAACAATGCGTTAATCAGACATCGTGCGAGCAGCAATCGCAAAGACAATATGCACTGAAGTTTTTTATATTCTAATGCAAATACCTTACTTAAGAGGGTACGCATAATTGGAAATATTTACTTTCACATTATGTATATAATTATAATCGTTTTTAAAAAGATGCAAGTAATCTCAAACACCTTGAACATGTAGCAACAGGAGAGTTGTAATTACGATTTTATGTTTTTAAGTTTTGTATTATTGTGATTTATAGTTTTCTTTTTATTTAATTTATTTATAGTTTTTTACCTGTGCAATATGGCTTCTAGTAAACTCATTTATCTGAAACAAAATTCACCACAAAATAAAAGTATTCACAATTGAATTTTTATTGATATTCCTTATTTATTTGATTTTGGTTGGTCTTCCCTTTTGGATTAAATATTTTGAAAATTTTTGTTTCATTATTTCGTGTATCGACGATTTGTCATATAAATTGATATTTGTTTACTATTTGGCAAATATGATTTCTGATAAAATGCGCGCTCAAATGTATCGCGATCATCGACAACGCTTACGATACGTTCGATGTCGTGTTAATAGCGGCTCAGTTCGTTTGCCAACGCATAACAGTGCAAACTGTGTCAACTCAGATTCGTTTCGTTCGTTGAAAAACAGAAATATGTGTAGGTCACAATCTAATCCAAATTTTTTACTCGGACAAGGGCATCCACAATATGAGAAAAGAAATATCCAACAACAAGTTCAACGTCAATCTACAAAATCAATCATAGATCATCGCCAAAGTATCGTCAAGTCTAAATCTTTAGCAACAAACGAAAAGTTAAATAATCAACGTTGTAGTCCAATGACTTATCCATCGATTGCTCTAAGCAAGTATCCAATTCTGAATTTACCGGAAACTGGCATTCAGCTGCAACGTCTCTTGCGTCCCGTAATTTATATGGATCTAGAGCTAAAAGCTCTTCGACCAGTGGGACGTGTACTTATTCAACTATATACGGAAGCATCGCCTCAAGTTGTATTGGAGTTCATGCGCTTAGCTAGAAACAATAGCGCAGATAGTCTTTTCATCACTCGTGTTTTTCCATCTCTATGGTTGGAGGGTGAGTTAAGATTACCGCCAGATTCTCATACACACAGAAAACATGAATTCGATACACGAAGTTTAAATCACACAAACCATGGCGGTATTGTTTCTTATTCGCGTGAAAATATAAGTGGTATCGAAAGTGACCGACTGAGCTTTGCAATCTCCTTTCGACCATTGCCTGCAGCTAATAGCAAGCGCATCGCTTTTGGCCGAATTGTGGGTGGCTTAAAATATCTCTACGAACTTCAAGACTATGGCACAAAAAGTGGAAAGCCGACAAGAAAAATTTTCATTAGCAAGTGTGGATTATTCTCAAAGACTTTGCCCTCGCGGAGATATTAAAATCCTTTATAAACTTATGAGCATATGTACTTTCGCATTTTTTAAACCGCAAATGGTTATCAAAAATTAAGGATATATATGGATTATGAAACAAATTATATAACTACTCAAACCATTTAATTTGAAAGTGAACAGTTTAATTCTAATTCATGGATTCACTTTTAGAGTAAACGGCTTTTACTAGTTCTATTGGTTTTGATTTCAAAAAATAATCCTACAATAAAATGTGACTTACAAATGAGATTAATATTTTTATATAATAACATAATTAGATCTGACTTCCCAAAGTCTGATTACTTATTAAAGATTTATATACTTGTATATGAATTTTATTTGATAGACACATGGCTAAAATGACATTTCACACTTTCATTAGTAGATTTCTATAATCTAAATATAAGGTATTTTTATTTAAAAATAAATTATATAATTATATAGATTGTCTTAGTTTCCTTATTACATTTTGCGGGTCCGAAGTATTAATATTAAGATCAACTTCATTACCTCAAATGAGATATATACTAGTGTGATATAAACTCAATGAAATGAGTTAAATTTAATATATGGGTTATATGAGGAAAACATTAATCAAAGGATGGGACATCCCAATTTCATTATTGACGTATGGGAATAATCGTATGTAATATATGGGAGCTGTGGTAATTCGTGGACCGATTTTAGAAATTTTCGACATTAAACTATAATAAGATATTTTACATATGTATTGGCTGATATATACATTCGTTATAAAGCCAACCGGAAGTTTGAAATTCTGGTATAATTCTTATCAATTTTCTTATATAAGGTATATGTTGGCTAGCGAATATTTTAACCCGATTTTATCCAGTTTTGGTATTACGACATATCATTATCAGAGATAGAGGCTCTCTGAATTTTAATAAGAAACATCACAGATTGATCAATATATAAGGTAGAAAGTCAAGCGGATGTTTGAAAATCCGTATATTAGGATATGGGGACTAGGAGAGGTATTGCTCCGATTTCATCAATTTTAGGCAAGAGGATTTATTATTACTAGAAATATATTTTTTCCGAATTTCAATAAGATTCTTTACATATTGACTTATAGATGCGGTATAAAGTCAACCGTATGTTCGAAAATATTTATATGAGGTATATGGGGTTAAGGAACTAATTTAACCAATTTTTGGCACAAGTTA